ATGGTGCGAAACAAACACATGTCAGGATCCGTGCAAGTAGAATCTCATGGACAAAGATCTCGCAGTTTGTCAATGCATGGCAGATACCGGCACTTCGGATCTTAAACTAAAACTTCTAGATAGCAGCCTCTCCAGTCCGAAATCTGGCAGTGATATTTCGGACCTCCAGACACTCTTCTGTGGAGCCACGAAGCCTGTTATCTTATCGGAAGTAGAATTTCCAGACTCTCAATTTTCGGCAGTTTTGGAATTGATATTGCCATCTTCTAAGTAGAGTGAAAATTGTACTTAGCCATACATGAACCGAGAATGCTCTGAGCGGTATCAACCACTCACTTACATTTCAAACCCCTTTCATCGCAGAACAGTTTCTGCTAAGTCTATGTCTCTCTTTTACTCTTTGACATAATGATTCTTCTTTGATTCTTTTTGTCACAGATAAAAACCCTGACACGTAGTTTGTAGCTCTGACTTCCACCACCAATTAAATTTCATATAAAAAAGAAAAAAATTTCACTTACCAGCAGTCATGTATCCCAATTTCCAAATAATGCATATTTCTTGTAGATGTCTTATTTTGGTACAACTACAGGAGTAATATAGTCACATATGTCATTTTACAAGCCAATTTCCATGACCCTGAACTCGTTTGTTAAACTTATTTTGCGAAACATTGCAAACCTAGACACACTCCAGGGTTTAGGTTCAATTTGAGACATTGATATGACATCATATGATATTAGTCATATCTAGAGAATGGTATATATCTACAACATCACTTTGATGACTGAAAAATTTATCTCCTTATGTTATTCTCATTCACTTAGAGCGCATGTAGAATATTGTAACAGAAAAATATGATAACTGATATGGATCAAATAAAACAATTAAAGCAAATGATTGATACCAAACCCAACTATGATTGATATTTCAAAGTGTCTTTGGCACCACATAAAACATAATGAGTATATAATTTGGAATATACGTCAACACTGAAACTGATAACTTTTTTGTTATTTCATTGAACCTGCTCTTACATCTAATATTTTTTTATTCAAAATATAAGACAAAAGTGTTCACTTTTGATTTAGTTAAATCACCAAAATTGTGAAATTTTTTCATGATGATCTTTCGATATCATGGAAAAAAAGTCAGAAAGAAATGCTGTTTGAAAAAATTGGCTGAAATTGTTAACTATAGTAATAATATTAGATATATTTTTTCTTTCGTCCTTAATGGGCCACTTTCGAAGTTTTAAGTTTATTCTACATTGATCAGAATTCCAGATATTTATATAATTTAGAAACATGTTTTTTGATTTGAGTTTACTAACAATAAAACTTATGTATTCACACTGGTGATCTGCAGTACTTTTAATTTCTGAAAATCTTGATGTTTAGATCCAACTGATGAAGCTGATTGTTATAAAGGCAAATTGATTCTTTTACTAATCTTTCATAAATTTAACTTAAATAGCTTAACCTCAATATTTTTAATGAACTAATTCAATTAAAATATATATATTTTCTAAAAATTCAAAATATTAAGAAAAAAAATGCACATGTATATAATGACATATCAAAGAAGAAAAAATACAATCAAATTGGACAATATTATAAAAAAAGATAACATAATTCATAACAATACTCATTCGATGTGAAAATGATTAAATTATACTGTGATATGCTGTATCCTTTGGACAACATATCCGGGTTCAGCAAGAAGGTTTTTTCTTTTTAATTTTTAGTCAATATGCTCTTTTAGCCATTCATTTTTTCCCTCGGTTTTTTACATCAACTTTTTTTCACGTTTTTTTTCTTCATTATATATAACAAATCAAACATGCACAAGTTATGATAAAACTTATAGTGTTCATTTTAAAAAGTGAAAATTTTGAGAATTACTAAATTTTGTAGTATTTTTAGATGAGGATATGTTTTGAAGTAATTTGATTGATTTTAGATATTAAAAAGTGTGAAAAATTAAATATTAAAATTTTTTTAAAATGTGAAAATCAGAGCTCGAGAATCTTCACCAAAAATTGATCAATGTATAGCTATATAACTTTTTATTCCTATGATTTTATGGTGGATACTGAAAAATACTCAAAAATTGTACTGATTTTAGAATGAAATTTTAAATTCTATTTGATGATGGAGTTTCAATCGTGTAAAAAGAAAGAGATTTATTAAATAGAAAAGAGATTTCTAACCTCATTTTAATTTTTTTATGATAAGATTGTAAGATATATATATATTTTTATCTTTTGAAAATTTCATATTTTTTATATTTTTACATATATAACATATCAATATTATAATTATCAAATTAAATTGATTATTTTTTAATTTTATGTAATCAAAATTTATGTTCAGATGATATTTTGTGTATAAATTAAAATTTCTAAATATATAATTTTAATATTTATAATAAATTTGTTACTATATAGAAGTCAGAAATAAAAATTTTAAGCAACTTGAATACCTTATTTGATAATCATTGTAAAAAATTTCATTTAATTTAAAAAATATGTGTTTAATCTTAGAATATTGTATTTTATTCATGAAATTTTTTATATAGTTTTATCTCTTGTGATTTTGATATGACTTTATTGAGTATAATAGAACTAATCTTACAAATCTGTCTCAATGGAATTGTGTTTAATCTATAATGTAATTATACAATATATTTTTCATGATATGTTTTGCATGATATGAATTTTGACTAAAGGCATGAAGATACTTTCATTTCATTCCTTAGCATTAGGTTTTTATTTTAGAAATAAAAACATGATAGTTAACCATTTTTAGTAAAAAATTACTTGATGGTACCCCATCGTAAAACAATTACTTATTGGAACCCATCAAGTTTTTCTTTATATGATGAAATCCAACAACGATCACATCATCCATGTTCTTCTATCAACCTGAAAGTGACAATGAGTATAACCGAGTAGCAATGTGTAGAGGAGTAATGAATTGAAGCGTGTTGGAATTGGAGCGGAAGCCGCGGATCAAAGAAATATTTTTTTTCTGTGAGATCTTATGAACCTTGAAAAGAAATTTTGAATGTTCATGCACAAATCTGGTTTGTGCAGGTTCAAAAAAAAAACCAGATCATGAAGATTTGTTATCCAATTTTTTTTTATCTTCCAAATTCTGAATTCTACAATTGATTTTGTGGTGTCACTCGTAGATGGTTCTTATCAAGCGGAACGGCTGGTGACCAAGCTGACAAACTTCTCCTCAATGCTAAAGTTCAATCCTAAGGCCTTCAATACTCCGAAGAGACTTAGTTTTCTTCCTCCGAACTTGGCCCATGTACTCTTTGCTGCATGTAGGGCTGCAGTAGCTCTTGCATTGGTGACCAACAAGCATGAAGCTCCAGCGGCGATGGTTGTCACTTCTCACACTTTGTTGTGCAACAAACCCAAATGATTTTTGATTCATGTCAAACTCCGACATAAAATCCAGCTTATAAAACCCATAATACAGACGGGTGATGAGTAATCAATACTCACTGTCACCGTCGTGTCGATAGAAGAACATAGATGATGTGGCCGTCGTAGGGATCCATAGGGTAAAACAAAACTTGATGGGTACCAATAAACAATTATTTTTACGATGTGATCACATCAAGTAATTTCCTCCATTTCTAGCTATCATGTAGAGAGATTCTTCTATATTCATATCTTGGTTACTTAAAACTAACATATTTTTTATCATGATCAAATTTGCAGAATAACTTGTACCCATCATCAAATGTGAGATTTTTGCCAGTCATGTTAGTTATTCCAACATTTTAATCTGCAACCATTATTTTCTAATGTTTTTTTTATAGTATCAACATTAAAGCTTGAATGAATTATATTTTGATCATAGCTTTTTGTTTGATGCAATCTTTGGATAAAAATTGTGCATGATGGAGCAAAAATGTTTTTGGAGACTATTGTGCTATAGAAAAATGTAAGATTGGCTGCTTTTGTATCATATTATAGTATGACACACATGCTCTATATATAGATATATATATATATATACATCTTGGCATTTCATTGCCAAGATTGTTGTTGTGTTTTTTCAAATTACACCCCTTGCTTTTAGTTTGAAGATGTCAAAGTACAAGCTTTGATGCCTATGGAGGGTAGATATTATTTTCATTTCCAGGGTATGTTATCCGTAAGAGTGAAGATAGATTGAAAAATTAAGAATGCCGGCATATCCAAATTACAAATTCATAAATATGTATGTTGCATCATAAAACAAAGTATTTGGTTTATATTTTTTATCTTCTAAATTCTTAACTTCACTAATACCCTCAAGTGTGTAACCGAGGATGGATAGTTTTGGACACATTTGAAGGGTTATGTTACCATTTGCACGAAAAACATTTATATTTTTGGTTGATAAAACAACTGACATTTTGTAAGATGTGCAAATCTAATGCGAACAGCTTCAAATCTCTTTGCTCAAACTAAAGGTTATTAACAAAGAAAGGGAATTACTATTTCATGGTGGGAGAGTGAAAATTCTTCTGTAGAAAACTTGTCTAGATTTGAAGACAAGCTTTGGAGAAAGAATGTCTAAGAACCGAAAAATAATAGAGCGCGTGCCACGGAGCTCCCAGTGTTCCATCTAGTGCGGTGGGGAATATGATGAGTGAGACCTTGATTTATGGGCACAGGAGAAAAAAATCTTGTGAAGAAAGCGATGTGTCACACCAGCATCCCGTGCTCAGGGATGAAGATTCTCCACACGAGAATCATACGCGCGGGAAGCATTGGCCGATGTTCACCGCAGTCCTGACGATCTTCGGTTGGTGCAACGGTGGAGACATCGTCCCGACGATCTCCAATCGTAGAGTGCGTGGATGTTGCGCTTCAGTGCGTCCGAGAAAGTATAAGGATCTGCTAATGGGAATATGCCACTCAATTGACCATGTGAAATGTGGATTCATATCAGGTCACGCCAAATGCAGTGGCTCTTTCAGCCCACGTCCCCAACGATCCAGTCCTTTCCTGCTTTTCCGGGCGTGTTAACGAGAGCAGCTTAATTCCAAAATTCGACCAAGCTTGGTGTAAACATGATGCGACGGTAAATCTTGGAAAGAACACTGGATCGGAGGGGCGTGTAGAATAAGTTCCACTCGACACGAGTGGAATCTCTCTGACTCAAGGGATGCCGATCGACCAGTCGGGTATAAGGCCAACATGCTTGTCGCCGGGCGACGACTGCGACGCATGAAATAAAAAGAAACTAAGCCAAATGCAACCACAAAAAGTACAAAGCAGGCGTCACGAAAGTGAAGAAAACCCAGCCCAAGGGAAAAAGGAAACAGAGAGAGCGTGGCGCGCTGAGCTCAGAACATGAGATGAAGCTCACAGTAAATTTTTCTTAATAGTAATCAGCTGGATAATTATTGCATGGTTTCAGTTATGAGTCGATCCTATCATACACCGAAGATGATCGAACGCTTGCTTTTGAAGCAATCGATCGGCCAACTGCAGCTCCATGCATCTCTGACACGCAATGTGCGACCAAGTTTCGGTTTTGTGACTCTGGGGAGCACCAACATGATCATGCGAATTTGGGACTGGTTTTGGATTACGCATCAACGTTTAGTGCGCGAGTTTTGTCTGTGCTGGAGGCCATGGTCCACGCGGATCGCCAAATTCCGTTTGAACATTCAAGAATTCGTATGGTGGATCGCTCACGAGGCTTGCGCGGAACGGAGAGAATGGCATGCAGACTTTAACCCGTGGAGTATGACAGTCCCCCGGGGGTTTGGATAGGAGTGAGCACGTGATGTCGAAGTGGCTTAAACTTACAAGGCCAGGACGTGTTCTGATCTCAACAAGGTCCTGAGTAGGAGGTCATAGGGTTCGGTGTTGGTGGTCAAATCTGAGTGATTGATGCTCGAAACCGTGAAAAGGCTTTATCTATATATGGCAACGTATTTGACTTCTCTGTAAAGCTGCTCTCTTAATTGGAATTGCATTCGGATTTCCGGTTGAGACAGTACATTGAAAGATGGAGCAGACATTGGCTTTTGCGCATCAAGTGTGCTCCGTCGGGACATCACCATGTTCTCTGATCAGGCCGCCGAAATTAAAGCTGCAGTTGAATTCTGCCTCGGAAGCGTTTCGTTGTAGTAGATATGGTCAGATCCTGCTTGAGAAGAAAATCGGTGTTCAATCATATTGGAATGGACAATGGGTCGCATCTCCAAGGACACTATCTTGTTCACAGAAACATATTGTTGCTTGTGAAGTACGAATTCAAGGGCCTTGTCGAAGGCACGGTCAAAGTGTTACGAAGGACAATGTGCGCAGTGGATGTCGATTTCAAGAGCAGCGATGGAAGATGGTGAAAAGAGCTGGTTACGTCAAATGCCATATTCCCAGGGAGGCAATGCGGAGCTGTCAGTCTTCAGGACAAGAAGAATCTTCGATCGGTACAAATGAGTACCCGGAAGAGTCGAACAGAGACAACTCTTGTGATCTACCTGAAGGTAACAACATCTCGTTCCTGCTAAGATTAAGGAAGTAGAGAGGCTCCTTGTGGGTCTGCTTTTGCCATTTTGGTTTTCCGGATAGCAAAGAGCTCACAAAAGTTGATGCTTTTAGCTTTCGCATTGATCTTGTCATTTTGTAATTTAAACACCGAGAAACTGTCAGATATGACCAGTTAACCCACTTTGAATTCGATCATTAAGTCTTCTCTTCTCGGAACGGGGTCTACTGCAGGTATTGAAGAGTCCCTTCAATATTCTTAGCTGTGTTAGTTTCATGAAACAGAAATCGGCTTCAAATCGTCAGCCTGGAAGTCATGGTTCAGATCTTTGTGCTCGACTGTCCTTGCCTTGACAATATGTGCTCCCCAAGCCTTGGGAGCTGGAGGAGCAGTGTTCGGAGACCTTGCACTTATTAATTGTGAAACACCTGAGATCGATTATGCCCTTCTCAAAGGCTTGGAGGGGGCCAACTTGAAGGAAAAGCTACACGATCTCATCAAAGACCACACTGTCTACAGCTACATCCAGGTACATGAAAGATCTTATTGCAATGCTTCTGCGTGGCAAAGATTTGGGTACATTCAATGAATCCTCTTTTCATCATGGTAACTTTCGTTTGCTTGCTCACGTATGCTCTATATATTTTGATTGATTTCACAACTCGTATGAACTTTGCGGTTCTTTCGTGAAATGTTAATCTGATCTTGCTATTCTGATGGCAGGTGTGGGAAGCTCTGAAAGTCTTAGATCAAGCAAAAGATGATCCAGACAGCGTGTACGATCTAACCCTGCCTCAAAACTGACCTTGTACTTAAAAGTTACATAATATTCCGTCGCAATTGTATATATGTTTGGGTTTTATACTTGACTAGGCTGTTTCGCTTTTTCCAAATTCCTTCGTCTTTACTGCTCTCCCCTGTCTGCAAGTTTTACATCCCAAAATAACGCTTCTTAATGCCCGTCATACAGTCAATTATAGAACTTCTTTCGCTCAGTCGACTGTGATACATCGGTCATAGAGATTTTTTGAGAAGTTTGCAAATTTTGGATCAATAGCCTGAACTCTAAGGCAAGAATGAAACTGAACATTTGTTTAGTCCATTCAGAATCTTAGTTGTTGTTGGAGTTCAAGCATTTTGGAATGGGAACTTGCTTTGTACATCCTGAATTATTTGAGCTTCGAAAATATGATGTCATTTGACTTGCACGTCGGCTGGAACTAGTTCACGCTTTCTTGTCAGCGTGCAGTGGTCCTGTCAACAGTACTAAGCGTTCTAGGCAAGTCTTGTTACGAATCCCTGACAAATTCTTTAAATCAATTGGTTGTGAATATCGCGTAATAAAATGTGCAGGATTGACATATACAGTTTGCAAAAGATGCCCAAGAGCGCCCAGGGCAGCACTACTGGGTGGAATCGTACATTTCTCACTTTCGCCTTGTCCAATGGATCTTGTGAATTATCTTCCAATGTTCCTACTTTGAGGCAACACTTTTTCTTTGAAAAAATCCTGAAAGGAAAGATCGTATTCTATCTCGGTGGAAGGATATTAGATTTTCTTTATTAAATCTCTGGAACATCTCATACTCTTCTGCCGAAAATCGCCCTTCTCATACTCCTGACTTTACCAATTATATTGGCTGCATCAGAGTCTCAGGATTTTACTTGTTAAAGCATAAGGTTTTCAGGTGTTTTGAAAGATTAAGTTTTCGTTCACTATGGTGCTTACTGCAGGAGAGCATCTGTGGCCGCGCTCATTTGGATTGAAAGATGGGCAGCCAGGATTCACAGATCTTCACAACTTGCGACCTTCAGATGCCAATGGTGAGTGCCATAATGGAGCCTAAGCATCTCAAGATCAGATGTCTTTTCTACCTTTTCTACCCTTATACTTACGACTCTGAGTTTCTTATTGTCTGGTTCACAGTAAACTCGTCAAGGGGTAATAAGGTCTTCGGGGATTGTAGTACCCAAGCAGTCCAGTGTTTAATACCAGCAAACAAGGAAGCAGCACCCGATACAGGTGCAAATAAAGACATATGGATGCCCCCGTCACAGGTTTGTACACATAAAACTAAACCGGCCTGTAGCTGGCAAGACGTTTTCTGTGACGAGCAAACATGAACTAGAGTTTTGTTACCACTTTCAAGGGGCAAGTCATTCATTGTCTTCGCAAGTTTCAATATCGCGTTCCATTTCTTGTTTACGAGTTTCTTTTCTAGATCGTATTTTAAATCAGCTGTACGTCAGTTCAAAAGTCGAGTTTCTGTAGCTTTGTAGAGCGTGGTTTGACCTGATTGCTAAATATGAGTGACTTGTATGTTTCTGCCATTGTAATCAAGGTCTCGTAGTCATTTCTTGAATGAATAGGTAAGGGGAGATATTGCAAGAGCAGTGTTTTATATGGCAGTGCGTTATGGAAGCGAGCAGCCTGTGGGAGTCAAGGAGTTGAGCTTGTCCAACTCACCTGACGTCGGTAAGTCTGAGTCTGGGTTTAGTATATAAAGATCTTAATATATAACGAAGAAGTTATCAAAATCACACAGTTGTTGGTTTCATGAATGTGTTTTTTGCTATCTGGAAGAAACATCTGGGATACAAGAAACGTTAATATTTGGCTTTGTAGTGAAAGTTATGTTTTCTTGGTAATTTCAGAGAGCGAAGTGATGGGACTCCTCAAAGACCTTGTTCGCTGGAATGAATTGGACCCTCCTAGTGACTCGGAGCGAGAACGGAATAACAAAGTTTGCTCACTCTATCAACGTAATCGGAATCCGTTTGTTGATCATCCGGAATTTGTTAAGGCTATATGGGGCGATGGATCTGAGCTCTCACCAGATACTCCAGACATACCAGACACTCCCGAACCTCCTAGTCCTTCAACAAGTGATATAAACGCTTGGATCAACGAGTTGCACTACGATAATGCAGGGGCGGATGTAGAGGAGGTACCGACAGTTCTCCACCTCCCAAGTTTTTCAAGTTCAGTACTCTTGTTCTGATTTGATCAAGAGAGCATTCGAAGTTTTGGGATGACTAGTATAACAGATTAAGAGCGTACCACGATATATACTGTCTGCTTGCCCATTTCCAAGTGGGTCTCAAAGTTAAAGCTAACATGTAGACACATTTTGTTTGTTGCAGTTTATTGAAGTGGTCATGGGACGAAATGTTGACCCAACCAATTTAAAGGTTGTGCTCTACAATAATGGTAAAGAATATCGATCACTCTCTGTAGGTGACAACAAAGTCTTTTCAAAGGTGGATAATATTAGCGATGGCTTCTCCCTCTATGTAGCAAGATTTCCGAGTCCCTTGCTTCAAAATGGTCCATCAGACGGTTTGGCACTTGTGAGTGAAGGAAAAACATCCGTCCAAGTGATCCAGACACTGTCCTATGAAGGGAGTTACAAAGCTGTGGATGGGCCTGCCAAAGGTCAAGAGTCAGTGGATATTGGAGTTGAAGAAGGGTCGAAGACTCCTGTAGGAAGTTCTTTAGGTTTGATGGGTACAGGTAATAAGTATGGGGATTTCAAGTGGTCAAGTTTCAGACTTAGTGCATCTCCTGGAGCCTTGAATCCTGGGCAAATACTCTCAGCGCCAGCACTCAAATAAATCACTTGTCAAGTTAAAGAAATGAATTTAGAAAATGTCAAAAGTAGGTAGAAAATTCACCACAAGCGCAGTGTTCTTTAACATAAGATTTACCTTCGTTCTCAGATTTTAGATTATAATCATAGAAAATTTTATTGCCAGTCTGGGATAGAAGCCACCATCAAAGTGTAAGACCTGCAGTTACGAATTGGTGACAACAGGATACTTACAAGATACACGGAAGCGGATGGAATAATGGTACGGGTTGTAGGGTTCGTTTTGTGACATTTGTCTGATTTTCCTGTTTCTCAGTACCATATCTCTGGAATCATTAGGGTCTGAGAGGTGGAATTTGTTTCTTGCGTTTTTCCTGAGCAGCGACACATTGTAAAAGCTTAAACACAGATGCGAGGACGTCCACCCACCTTTTGCCAGAACTTGCATATTCTTACTTACCCTTCGTAATGTTTATCACAGTTTTATATCAGATGTCTAGGTTCTTACAATATTATCTTCAATGTCTATTTGTAAGGGAGCAGCCCCAGACTGAGTTCTGCATAGTCTTTTCACGACATTTTTTGAAGGTTTGCGACCACTACTACTCTGTGTGTAACTGCCACCTCCTTGTGAAAGGATTACATTCAACTACGATCAGATGTTTTGGCAGGCCGGAATTCTCGTGTTTTTTCTGGACGTCGATGATCATCTTCTTATTTGTATCTCTTTGTCGACTTAAACTCTCCGACTCGAGTCTGAGCTACTTTTACTTCATAGTTTCTATTTGAACTCTATTTACATAATAAGCTTTGACTCAAGTTTACTTGACATCGTTCACTGAACCCATAAACATCGCAAACAAATCGAAAAAAGTTGCCATTCGATTCAAAACCACCCTGCTCAATGTCTGAGAGAACTTTATTTTTGAACATGCTTGGGGATAGATGGTGCCAGTAAGATTCAAGTATATTGTCATCCCAAGAGGCGTGAACTCTCCAGATAGTAACTTCGACCAAGATGTGGAGAACAAGCGTAAACTTGATTCGCGGGTAACGATTTCATCTCTATCAAGATGTAAACAAGGAAATTGAGATTTACAAAGGATTTGAAAGAACTGCAGAAGGTTACTCTTTTGGAAAACTTGGATAAACAAGACTTTATGGAGATGTTACTAAAATTTCTGATTGCGACCAAATTTCATTATTATGAACATTATTTTTAATCATTTATTACTTTTTTGTTTTGTTATGTATTCATTATTTTCTGTGAATAAGGTCGATACCATCACATTATGTATCGAAGTATTGGGGCTTCCACTTTCTTCCCATAAAGTGTTACAATCACGGAAGAGAATCATCGCGTTGACAGATTACATTCCATTTTCTCATCAAAATTTTGCAATAAATTGTAAGTCAAATTTTGAAAAAGTTTTTTTCAACATTGTCATGAAGAAAAACGTATGCTGCGACAATTTGATATCTCATGTAAATTTTGGACTCAAGTTGATAATATCATACTTCATTATATACAATGATATATCTTTCTATTTCTATCATTGCAATCAATATCTTCGTCTTGTTTGAATTTTATGACAAACATATTGCTATAGTCACTTGAAAATAGATGGTTGTATTGACTATATAATTATACCTAAAGAGAATAATATCAAGTTGGATCTATTTCAACATAATTTTTACATGTAACATTCAAGATAATTGCTAGTAGTAACAAATCCATATCATTAAAAGAGCAGAAACATTTCTAAGTCTACTTATAAGGATAAATCATGAGTTAAAGATTTATCACTATGGATTTTAATGATGTGATTAAAAAGTTTTCGTTTGTACCAAACGAAAACTTTTTGAAGAGTAAGAATCAAAAGAGCAAATTTTTTTTTTGAGATTCAAAATCTACACCAAATAAAATAAAAACTACATCAATAATTATTATTATTATTGACTTAAACTAAAGTAGATGTTACTTTAGATATAGACAAAGATAACTCATAATGAATTATCTATAGTTGCAACATCAATCATACGTGACTTTGATAGTTTAAAAACAAGTGTGTTAATTAACAACGTTACATAAAAAACGAGTGTACTTGTTAAGGAAGTATGGAGTGTATCAAGTAGTGTGTTAGTTACAAAGAGCTTGTTGGGGTTAATCACTATATCATTAATCCATTAAGAGTGAAATGGATTTTGAGATGAAATTTACTGTTTGTTATCCATATAAATAATTCAATAATCAATCTAATAATTTTTTATTTTCAAAATTTGTGTTGTATGTTTGAGTGAGATTCAATATAATGTATTTTATTACATTTCACTTTGCAGTCTTAAATTAACTTGATCTTGTGTTTCAATTAGTTTGTTAAAACTTGGCAATGTGATTTATGATACCGCATGCACACATTGATAATTTTCAAATTCTCATCTCTTCTTATTATTTCAAATTAATATTTGCATAATAATTTGAAAAAAGTGAAAATGATTAATTTTCACTTTACATGTGAAAGCGATGGTTGAATTTATGGTGATTTTTGTGATGATGATGCACCATCTATTCTATGTTAACATTTTATTGATTTATTAATTTTAAGTGAAATAATTCATGAATATTGCTTGATCATGTGAAGTCATGGTTATTTTAGGCGACCGTGTTCCACATTACCTAAATTCACGCTCCCTCTAGCGCCTAAATTAACCAAAGCATCTAGACTGTGATTGGCTCAAAATTGAAGCGTGAGAGATCTCAACCAATAAGGTGTGATGATTGTTAATCAGTTTGTAATCACGTCAGTCTCATAATTCGAAGTTTATAAATTAATTTTACTCTCGCCCACAAGACTCTTAACCGTACTACATCCACAACTTATGGTGACTCTTTCTTTGAATTCCTCATTCGGAGAGAGAGTGCACTTGAAATCAAATCTCTCATTCTCTTTCAAGTGCAATCAACGTGATTTTTAGCACAAAAAGCTCCTAAATTCCCTAAATTAACTTTCTCGATGCAACTATATTAAACGTGTTTAGATGATTTAGGCAACCGGCTGATATAACCATGCCTGCTCATGTGTGATCCATAAATATCACTATAATTTTTATAAGTTTTTGTTTTTATCTTTCTACATGATAAATTTTTTCATTTTATTTAATGATTGCATTTCAAAATCATTCATATCATTTTGAATTTTCATGACTTTTTTGACTTACACTTATATAATCTAGATACTATCACTATATTATCTATGTATAATAAAAAATCATAAAAGTTAAAGATGATTTTATTATATATTTTATAATATTTTTTCACAAATTTTTTTTGGAAAAAAATTTAAAATTAAAGTCGAATGGATTTATCAGATTTTCAATTTAATATGAAAATTTTATGTTTATTTTCAAAGAAGTTAAAATTATCAAATTTATCTTTCATTTTATCATTTGAGTTATAAATTTTGCATTTTAATATATCACAATGTAATGTAATGTGAATTTTGAATAAATTAAGGATTAAAGATTTTTAAATTGAGTTTTGATCAAACATATTTATATCTGCAACTTGTAACTTTTGTAGTTTTTACTCATTCTCCATTTGATTTTTGTATTTTATACATTTTTAAACACTAAGATTATCATTTTAATCTATTTGATTAGAAATTATATACATTCAAAATAAGACGAAAATATTTTTAAAACCATTATTAAAAAAATCTCTCCAATATGATATTCAGACTTTGCATATGAGAAATTTTTTAAAAGATTTTCATAATTCTATTACATATAATTCAGTTTATTCATCGTTCATCTCTCTTTTCATAGGATATGATGACACTATGAATGTTTTTATTACTAAATACAAATCTTGTTGAAGTGTTGTTTACAACTAACAAACTAATTAACATGTTGAACATATCTAACTAATGTATAAATGTTTACTGCGGTGCTCTTAACTAGATAGTGAATTATAGCATTGCGACAAATTGCTCATACAACTCGAAGATCTCATATAATATTCAATTACTTATCTATTCATCACAAGGGTTTTTGACATGATAAAATTTTAAAATTCGAAATAAGTTAATGTGAAATCTATCATGATTAATTTCTAATTTAATTGTAAATATTAAAAAATAATTATACTCATAAAGTGTAATATTTCTTCTCATTGTTATAAAAAATAGCTCATTGCAGCAAATGACTAAGTTGAATTTGTTAATAAGTATTTTTTCTTCTATAACAATGATTGAATATAATAAGCAAAAAAATAAAACAAGCAGAACTTTTTAATCTGAAAAATATTTGAAATAAACACAAATATTTTTTTGATGATATGAAAATCATCTACAAAGTATGTGCATAATAAATAGAGATTATTACACCAACGAATACTCATCAAATTCAAACTTAGATAATTTATATTAGATTACCTATCAAAATCAGTAGAAACATATCATGATGTATATATATCTTACATGTGATCTTCATTTAAAGAATGATAATCATGGGAGTTAAGTGGAATTACCAAAGCTGAGTTTACTAAAATATTGGGTATGCAGAAGTATCACTTCTTTGAATTTCTAGCTTTAGAACTATACTTACTCATAGATATTAATATTACATGCTAGTGTATGAGGGAAAGAAAGCCTATCATACTAGATACCAAGGTATTAGAAGTTTCAAAGAATACATTTGTATTGTTTGTCCAAGTGTAACCTTTGGTACAATCTATAATGTCAGGTGATAATTTTTCATTTAATTTGTAGCAAACTTTATCTATAATTTACATGTTGTAATTTATATGATTGATTTAAGAATATATAATCTAGTTTCATCCTTATTGCAATTAGTATGGGATATTTGTCAACTTTGTTATATTAATTTTCCAGATACGTAAAATATATTGTGAAATCAATTCTCAAATCACTATCGTATGTAAGTGCTGGACAGATTGGTCCCTTGGTCTCGGTCCACGTGCAGCCTATTTGCAGTCTTGTGAAGCTACTACCGGCACTGACCGGTAGTCCGGTAGTAGCAAATATAGCCTCAGAAAGTGATCCGCAGTGGTAAGTCAGAGCCATGGCGGAATCAGAGTGTGGCTTGATTTCCTCTGATACAACGAAATTGGAGTCTGGGAGAGTGTAGAAATGCGCTAGCTGTATGCTGCTGGTTGTAGCGGGGACAGACATTGCACCGACCTTAGCACCGCGGTTTCGATTTGCGCTGAATTTCTCGAATTCGTGTCACCAATTGTCGTCAGAGATTCTATGACAATGCTGATTTCTTCTGCACTGCAGACAGCCATATGTCATACCGCATTCATATATGCCCAAGATAGAAGAACATCATTCGTTCATAAGGGCGTTTTGCAGCTGTCTGCTCGTGCCCGGAGGTGGCGACGAGGTAGTTTCTTAATCAGTAAACGATTCTACATTTCTGTGATCCATTTCTATTCACTTTAAGCCGAGACTTGGACTTGAATCGATAGTGATTATCCAAAGAAATTGGACTGATCAACTTGAACTTTGCCACAATCTCACCAGCACTCTGCATTTCTTTGATACGTAGAGTTTAATTTTACCGAGGTCCGAAGCTTTTGTAACTTTCAGAACAGAGTCCCTCTGCACTTTCTAGAATTTTGCACATTACTGGTACTTGGATTCCATCATGCTGTCGATGAAGCTATGTTGTGTATTGAGCTTCTGCCGTCACTTATGCCTTCGGTGCTTAACGTCGTCCAAATTCTCTTTCTTGGTGGCTAGTTCTTTGCTGAATGTTAGTTGCCCTGCTGGTGAGGCCGCAGAGCTCCTTTGGTGCCCATCAAAATTATCTTCGCTTTCAAAGCTCTGTAGTCTCTTTCGGAGTAGTTCTCAAAGCATTCATCTACTACAGTCTAAGCCTCCCAATCCTCCAAATCCTCATGGGGCTTTGGAACGTCAGAAAAACTCAGATCCCTCTTGGGATGGTAAATGCAAATGTGGTAACGTGAGGCGATCGTGCCTCCAAGTTCATCGTGTCTGCTTGCTGTGTCGTGTGAAGATCTACTAGGTGCTAAATGTCAGTCCCAGGACATTGAAATCGCTTCAGAGAAAAGTACGTCCATAACCAACGGCTTATCTGCAATGCAGGTGAAAATTCACCACCTGGTGGACTCTTGTGCCGCTCGAAAGTAGCCTCCCATCATCTTCGTGTCGGAGAATTCATATATGGAATCAAAGCAGGGTTGACAATGTCTGACGGGGAAGTGGCTGCTGAGGAAAGCGAGCTGTATATGGGATTTGATTTTGGGACGTCAGGCGCCAGGGTAATGGTCATCGATGGAGAAGGAGAAATCTGTGCTGATGGGAAGCAGTTATACCCAGTACGTCACTCACTGGGCACAGTGATTGAAGATGTCTGCCTTTGACATTTTATCAAGGGAAGCCTTGCAGTATGAAGTTTATGCTTATCTGAAAGCAGTGTAAATCGCATGTGAATGTCTAAACGCTTTTCATTTGTAAACGTTTCAACGTTATATGATCTTCTCTTGACGTCGTGCGTAGGTAGGCTGTTCACGAAACAGAGTGGGCCAGCATGTGGAAGGATACATTGTTCACCCTGATCGACGCTGTACCGGCTCAAGTGAGGTCTCGAGTAGTCGCAATATCTCTTGATGGCACTTCCTCTACAACGATGGTAATTGACAGGTCAGGATACTCTCTATGTCCCTAGCCTATTCTCTCACTCTTGTTGCCTTCCTCACCTTACGCTCTTCCATTGCTCTTCATCTACATTTTACAATTCCTTTCCACCTTAATGAAAGCCTCTCTGGTGTCTTCTAGTTGCATGGAATGCGTATATAATAGAAACCATAATTTTAATACTATTGATCGGTAAACACCTTCGTATCACCTTGTAATAACAAGGAAATCATACCCTGTTTGGGAATCCCAAACGTTTGTTTCTCGATCGTTACCGACTTGTGATCCTGTTCTTCTATTGTTACTCATCAAACCACCGCTCTGTCCAAAATCTCTCGCCGTTTGTAGTCTCATACTAAGATCTATATTACCGATCTTAATTTGTCAGGTTCCCAATCTTCAACTCTATCGTCGTTATTTACTAATTACAACACTTTCACGTATTGTACTTACGTTGAAAAGTTTGTTTCCAAAATTTTTTGTTCTTTCTCTTATAACTTGAGGTCAGGAACAGTGTATTAGTGTTGAAATCTGTAATTAAGATGATGATGATGATGTAATGATCTTAATTAAGATTTTGAGATTGGTACTAATTTGAGAAAATCTCTGTGCATCTCAATCTCCTACTTCTCGCATACAAGTAAGGATACTGTTCTTCCTTGAGAGATAAAAGCACGATGTATGCCGCTTCAAGTTTTGTCTAATTCTTCTCCATTCGTCTCTTCTTAGACTCTCATTACGACTACTGAACGTTTACGTGGGAATCTTCCTACAAGTCCACCTATCTTCTGATTCAGTTGCCGTCCTAGTCAATTATCCCAGTTGTCCAATTTCGCGTGGGAAAACGGAAAACTTCACAGCTCCTTCTCTCATATGTTTATCTCCTATATGTGCACCGCTCACTACATTGAAACTTAAAATTTTCGGTATCTCAGAGTGCCGGGTTTTGGATTTCCTTTGTTTACTCAAGTTATTCCAAGTATCACTGCGCATAATCTGCTCTTTGTTACTAAAGTGTAGTCCCTTAATTTGTCCCTTTATTAATGTCCAGTCAAATACCAAATATCAGAGATCCCTTCCCAACTCATTTATCCGCCAAATTGCGTTCGGCTTTCATCGCAGGAAAACAGGGCAACCTGTGACACGACCTGTTCTTTACAACGAAAGCCGTCCACAAGCCCTGGCGACAGTGGAGGCCATCGCTCCAGCCAAACACACTGTCTTGACGGGAACATCAACTCTGTGCAAACTTGTTGCATGGTGGATGTCAGAAGGTTCCAAACTACAAACAGAAGTGGTCATGATGCACCAAGCGGACTGGTTACTCTCGCTTCTTCATGGCAAACTCGGCATAACAGATTACAACAACGCTCTCAAGGTTTGCTCTCAAGATGAGCCTTTCTTCTGTGATTTGGACATCTCATCTTTAGCTTAAGGCTCTTTGATAATTCTATAGCATTGGTTCAAGTGAGACGTTTGGCACATTCTTGACCAGAGATGCGAAAGCTTCTATCATACGGTACTCTTTGAAGTAGACCTTGGCAACCGTCGTACATGGTATAAAAACTATCTAGCTGGATGGCTTCAGGTTGGTTATGACCCGGAGTTGGAGGAGTATCCAGCATGGCTCACGTCACAACCGTACGCTTCCCTCCTTCCCCTGGTTAAGGAGCCAGGCTCTGCAATAGGTCTTGTTGGCCAAGACATCGCTTCAACTTACGGTAAGCAACAGTGTAAGCTATGCCTTCACCTTGTGTGCTTCATACCCTTTTTCCCTACTAGGGCTGTTTAGCATAGTCAAGCTTATATTTGTTGTGACCAATCCCCACTGCTTAGTTCTAAAAAGCAGGCCATCATATTAATGGTTGAGGGTTGTAATCTACAGGTCTACGAGAGGACTGCCAAGTCTACACGGGAACAACTGACAGTATCGCAGCTTTTCTTGCAGCCCGAGTTACAGAGCCTGGTGAAGCTGTACGTGCTTCTTGATCTTGACTTCAAAATTGATATACGGTGTTGCTTATGTCAACTAGAATTTAAAAGTGAAATAGTTTTGAGGAGGAGAATCATTTCTTTAGCTTTACGGTATCTAAGAATCTCCTCGTCTTACTTGACAATCCGTTCAGCATGATTATGAGAATATTCTGCTTCAAGGTTCACTTTGAGGCTTGATGAAACCCGAAGAACATGAACATCGTGGAATGACTCTCAGCTAAAGCATTGGGTCATAACGAACTTCGGTATTGTAGATAGAGTAGAACATCCTACAGAACAGTACGTTATCCGCCTAGAACCTTCGTTCCATGATTCTAGCAAGTCTGAAGATGTGGTTCCACTGTTTCAGGTAACATCGTTGGGCTCTACGTTAGCTGTGAAACTGTTGAGCACAAGTAGAGTAGATGATTCGCGATATGGCATATACAGCCATAGACTAGGAGACAAATGGCTTGTTGGTGGAGCCTCGAACACAGGTGGAGCGGTTTTGCGACAGTTATTTTCAAACGAGCAGCTTCAAGAGCTCAGTGCACAAATCGATCCATCTAAGCCATCACCGTTAGACTACTATCCTCTTCCTAAAGTTGGAGAGCGCTTTCCTGAAGCCGACCCTAACAAAGAACCCAGGTAAGTAAATGAGGACACCCACCTGAATTTTATCACAGCGAGTGCTATCTGGTCATAACGCCTTCATCAACTTATTCTCTTCAGTGATCTACTGTTTTCCTTCTGCAGATTGTCCCCTAGACCAGACAGTCATCAACTTATATTCTTAATTGTGCAACGGCTTTCCTTGTGCAGATTGTCTCCTAGACCAGACAGTGATGTAGAGTTTTTGCACGGAGTTTTGGAATCCATCGCGCGTATTGAGGTGTACATTCTCACTTTCCCCTTCGTGATGTCTTTGAACCAGTTGTCTCTCTTCTTCTTGTCTTCCGTCCCAGGACGTAGTGGTTCAAGGCAAGAATGCACTCGATGATCTCAAAGAAGTTTGTCACAGCAATCTTTCTCACTGTCTTTCTTTCAATCAGGGACGTGCGTATGCAGCGCTTGATGAGCTAGGAGCGACACCTTTGAAGGCAGTTAAAACAGCTGGCGGAGGAGCACAGAACGTGGTGTGGCAGAGGATCCGAGAACGTGTGCTGGGGGTACCAGTTTCCGCCTCAACGCAAACCGAAGCTGCATATGGAGCTGCTCTTCTTGCCTTCTACGGTTGTAAAGGCCTAATCCGAACTTCTCAAAAGTCCTACAGTACTGCATCTTGAGGCGATCTATGGATATCTCTGTTCACGAGAACCTCCTCTCATAACTCGTCGTGGACCGACTTTGAAGTCACTTACTACATTGTCAAGAGGTTGTGAAGTAGGCGCTGAGAAATCCTTCAGGCGATGGAAAGTTAGTTCCGATTCCCGGAGAAAAGCTAGCCAGTTGGGCCATATAATCCACTAGAACTAAGAGATTATTTGTTGCTTTATTTATACAGTGCATGACCAAAAGAGAGATTTTTAAGAGTAATTTGAGTTAGAAGGCTTGAAGACATTGAAGGCATGTACCGTATGAAGGCTCGTCAATGGGGGATGATCATGTTGCTACATGATATATTGTAAGAATCCTGTATTCTGATTCTTTCTTGCTAAGTAAATTTATCTTTCCAATCGCTATTTTAAAGTGAATTGCGTGCAAATTGCTAAATGAAACAAGTATGCTTGATTTGGAATGAACGTTGGTGACTGTAGTTATGTTGTGTCAAAGGGCAGAAGTTACAGCTCTGTGTCACTCTAGTTTTAAGTCACTTCATATTGCCATTTGTATGAATTTGTGATTATAGGTACATGTATACAAATATGTTCTAAAATGTTAATAAAAATCAAATGTCAGTTCTAAAAATTCAAATTTTTAGTATTTATTAATTTTGAACTACGTTTCACCTCAATTATGAAATTTTAGAAGGAAATTTGTTATTTAAAGATAACACCCTTTCAATGGCAATGACGAGCACAATTTGAAAAACAAATCATTCGACTTCATCGCTTGATGGTTACATAATCATTGCATTATAGTCAATAACCTTTAGTCCAATACTGTGATCCGAGCTTTAGACTAAATCCCGCTCCCTCTCAAAGAGATACCAAGTGGATTTTACGCTATTCACTTGATCACCCTTTCAGTTGGCGATTTTTTAAGATTAAACCTGTATTCATTTCTTCATGTTTGGAAGTACAGTACTATGAGTTTTTTTTTTTTTACGACAAGACAAAAAACGTTAAGATGAATATTTGAAGTTTAACATGAAGTATGTACTCATTCATGTATAAAGATCTCACCTCAATTTATAATGACATATAAACTAGGATACTGCAAATCTATATTTTTATTTGAAAGTACCAAATTATTATCAGAGATGTGGTGTTTACATGGTTTCAATGGAGATTAGGAACATGACTCATTTTCCTAGTTCATCTTAGATGAGTATTCATCTCCTTTGAAACCATGTAAACACCATATCTCTGATGGAAAATGGAGTTGTAGCGTACAATATCTCTTCTTTTTACATTCAACTTTGGAATTATATGAAGCTATGGAGTTGTACTCTTGATATGTATATGAGAAAATGCACGACAGAATATTTCATCACTATTTTGCTTAGTGTAATTATGTTCTTAGATAATTATTATAATAGGGGAAACATCATGTTTAGAGATCAACTTCAGATGCTTCAAATCTTTGTTCATCATTTGTCTTGAGTAACTTGAATATATAATAATATATATATACTTTTACTCACACATATCTATGAGCAACAAATCAGGTTCATCAAACTGACATAAGACGAAGTTCCTCGCGTCCATTGCAGACGCCTGCGCTGGATCTGCCGTGAACTTCGACCTCCTCGGTTCGCTGTCTTCTCGTCCCCCAATTGCCCTCCCTCCCACGTTCTATCCACCATCGGATTTCAATATTCGAGGGACTAGACTCGACTTACTACACGCCCACCATCGAAGCGTGGTAACCCAGCGAACACCACATGGTGCAATCCAATCCAACGTAGACGATCCCCAGCGCCCACATCCACTGGACGGAGTCGTTCTCCGTCTAGCGTGGAGGTCCTGCACTGCACACATTGGACAGACTGTTACGCACACCTCATGACTGATGGAAGCCATGGTTTCACCTAGAATGGGCTGATTTCAACTATATTTGGAGCATGGAGGAGAACCATTGTTTTACTTTTTTTTTTTATGACAAGTATGGATATCACTTTCTAGATGGATAAAAAAACATTTCTCAAAGAAAAACCAATTTGTGTTATAAATTTCTTACACTTCATAACTGAACTTCGAAACATCATTTTCATGCTTGTCGTCTTATCGTCGCGCAATCTGGTTAGTGCGTCTGCCTTGGTCGCCTTGGTCGCCTTGGTTCTAATCCTGGCACCTGAATAAAAGGAGTATAAGTATAAAAAAGTATTTAAATGTGAAATAGTAACCAAGAGCATGGAATAAAAGATGGGAAGACCCCACCCATCAAATCATAAATAGATGAAATATAATTATAAATCAGAGGCTGGTTCACGATTCTATCTTAATAAGAAACATGTTTGGAGACACTATGAGAACCCTCAAGTACCACTTTGATTTCATCTTGTCCTAGTATAACTGTACAAACCTAACTGTTTTCTTCTCAGACTTAATGTATAATGATCATCCCCGTGAAAGCTTTTTATGATTGCTAAAGGTGTATTTGACTTTACTTTCCTCAATGTGAGACTACGTATTGAGTAACAATCCTTTCTTGTCAAACCACTTTACACTCGAAAATAGCTATTTCTTCTGTTCGAGTGTGATGTCATGTCCAAAGAGAGTCAACAAGAGATAAACTGCGTGGTTCGTACACGAATTTAATACTCCTGTTCAATTGTATCCACTGACATAAGTACTGTCTGTCGTACTGTACTCCTGTCAAATTGGAACCCGCACACGAGCTCAAGGATGGGCATACAGTTTGTGTCACTCTCTTCTCAGAAGTGAGAATCAATTAACTGTTACAGCAATGCAGTATATCAAGACATTTCAATAATCCAGTGTCTGTATCGATCTTTACAATAACATGGAGTTGTGAAAATGCCATCACAAAATTCAAGCATTTCCGCACTTGCCAGAACTTCTTACATTCACACATTACAAGCTGAACTTCCTACGGTTTCTCACACCTAAAATTTCCAAAACTATATACAGCCACCAAAGGCCACCTACATCAGCTCGATTGACATCCCTCACACCTACAAAATCTTCATGGATCCTTCTTGAGATCCAATATTTACAAATATCGTAGTTCATGTTCTCCATGGGCAAATTTACAGTGCTGTCCTAATCGGCAGTTCCCCGACATCCAGTATCTACAAAGCTTTGTCTTATATAAAAGTTCACTTACTGCAAGTGGATTAAATGGCCGGCGACGAGGAAATAAACCGTCGTCATCGAAGACCGAGTCTACGTCAGATTCTGAATTAGCATCAATTTCTGAATCGGAGGAAAATGGATCCCCTACAATATGCTCCTCATCCCACAGCTTGCACTTGCAGGTTGCGTGTTTGTCCACCCACGGAGCTCCACACTTGTAACAAAATTCATGCCCACATCTGGAAAAACCATCACCAGTAAGAACCAAACTTGTATAAAAGAGCAATTCAACTTGAAACAGATATTGTGCCTCACGTACACATCGGCAAGTAGAAAAAAACTCGTAACCCGTTTGGATGTATTCAATACTACCCTGAAGGTGACTTAACAACTATACACACAATGCAGCCACCAGGTTATGAAGACCCTCAACGTCTGTATAGGAACTGTAGGTCACAGAAGCACTCTACGAGCTAATAGCATTCTATTAGCTCGTAGAGTGATTCAGAGACGATACCCTTCCATTGAAATCAGTTTTCAAGACGGGGCCCTGTCTGACAATGTCCGGGCCGATTCGCTGCGTGCGCTTCTAGGCGCCGGCTCGATCAGGCTCGATTCAGACTAAAACGAAAAAGGGGGCTGAAGCAAGTCCTTACAACCAAGTCCGAGAAAATCCATCTTTCATTTATCAGAAACCAAATCCAAGGGACTCTCTCCAATGAATAGTTACAAACTAAGGCACCCCCAACTAAGATGGTCACATTCTGTGAAATGCTTTTCCTCAGATGTGGATCCAAAAGTTAACAATAATCAGAAACACGACTGTGACCATCATATCAGAACTATAATTAGAGAAGTCCTCATGTGCATTTGCCTGTCATGGCCGACAATACCAAGAGAACCCATCAAAGGTAAACATTTCAAAAAGAGATCTTGGGTATCCATAACATACACCCGCGAAGCATTCGGCAATATAAAAACAGATCCAAAACTGGAAACGATAATCGGAAGTCAAACAAATTACACAAAAGGAAGCATTCAAATGATCAACGTAAACAATGAGATTTCAGGAGGGAAGCCGCGTCCCATATCCCTTTGTAGGGAGATTCTTCTCGTACCTGCAAGTCATGTGATAGCAACCTTGGTCCAGCTCGATCATGCGACGACACTTCGTACATCGCTGCCAGTTCTTATTACTTGCAAGTTTGTAAAGTTTGATGTCCTCTGCAGCTCTTCCATCTGGAGGGAGGTTGTTATAGTCCTCACAAGACATGTCTGCATGCCAAGGAACTTGGCATTCCACACAGAAGAGCCGATGACACTCCATGCATTCGACCTGCCCAATTGCGAATGATTTGGGTTGTCTGGAAGAGCTTGGCCTGGAAGAGCTTGGCCTGGAGGAAGGATTCAGATCACCTTTGGACATTAAAGCTGAACAATTGGTAAAGGGGCAGTAAACTCTTTCTGATTCGGGAATGCTGGCTTCTATCAAAGATTTCGTGTATAATTCCACTAAATCAGGAGGAAGAAAATTCCTACATTGTTCGACGTCCACCAAGCGAGAACAATCTTGAGGACATTTTACGGGCACCTGGTTGCTCTTGACGCGAATCTGAACATGTTGGGTCAAGCAACTCACACAAAACCGATGAAGGCACTCTTGGACCACGAAGGTGTCAGCTTCTCGAACATTCTCAAGGCATACGGGACAATCTATCATATCCGTTTCCTCTGGAGTAGTAACGAATCCGGATGACGAGGGCTTTAGCCTCTTGATATCCTTCGGCCCCTGTGTAACGTGCTTCCGAATAGCATCATGTGCTAGATTCTCAACAGTGCGTCTGGACGTCAGCCTTATGTTGAAAACCTTCAACTGCTTCGTATGTTCAAACACTTCTTCCAACAACTTTATATGTTTTGGAGCACGGGCTTTCCATAGACCAGAAACCTGATTATGTCAAACCAACAAACAAGAGCAATGAGTATTTTGAACTCCTCATCTGCGACAATCTACAATCCTTGTCCCAGGACAAAATACTGAATGATATTAAAAAATTTCTGACAATGATTCCGATGACATAAGCTGGAGACCAATACACCCCACCCCGTGTCCGAGCGGTGATCCATGGAAATTAAGGTTAGAATACAGGCGTGTTCTCATAGAAGTCAAGTAAACTCTAAAGATAATCATGTGAATATTGGAGAAGATTATACTGGGGTCATCATAATTATTAGAGTCAGACGGCGCAATGCCAAATACACTTCGAAAGTCCCAGGAACGGCTAACTCGCATTGTATCTGCCTGAGATCTGTCAAATACTTGGGCTTTGACAAATATGCTGCTTGGATGGTTTCCAAGTAATATCTCCGCTCAAATCCGTGAGAGTTGGTTTCGAATACTCAAATGCAAACTTCTACAGGATCCTTGGTCTCTTCAATACTAAGAAAAGCTCCCTCTTCAAGCAGAGTGCGGAACTCCTGTTCAGTACTCTCATACTGCGAGTGACAGTCAAGAAGATATGTTCTCCCAGGTGTTTTGGATTCCCATTTTCATTAGTGGAAAAAAAAAACACATATTTTTTTTCCACCAAGTTCAAGACAAACACAAGAAGATTGATTGAATGTATAGGAACTGGACTTTTCTTTCGTCGGGACTTGGCATGTTAAGCACATCAACATTCTACCAAGTTCAAAAGCAACAAAGGAAGAAAGATTATTTTCCGCAAGCTTTCCTTGTAGGTTTCATTTCTTCGGAGTTTGACAGAACACATAAGATAGTAGATGATCCGCCGTCAGGGCTTAGCATGCAAGGGACAGAAGCAACAAAAAATTAGTTCTAAATCTCGAAGGAGCCGAAGAGATATACAGTATATCTCTTCTCCAGTATCATATACTGGATGAAAAGCACTGAGAAGACGATAATAGTAAAAGTGGAAAGCGTCATGGATGATCTGAGGCATGAGTGTGAGAAGCCTAAAAGGAGAAGATCAGTGTAATGTAAAGGAGGAGAGCACCTGTCGCAGTAACAATAGTGGGAGAACTAAGCGGGCAGTAATGAGGATCCAGTCCGACGCAAGAAAGTCTTGCAATGACCATTTGTAAAACACACAATTACATCCTGCCAAGTTCAGAAGCAACACACAGATGTACTCCTTGAACGTTTTCACACCAACTTCACATAAATCCAGAGAATGTCTGGTTTCATGTGAAATTGGTGTGAAAAACACCGTTGTTTTTCACCTACTCTGTAAAATGATGACAAACTGAGTCAAGAACTCCACAGAAAACAAACCACATACAAGACTCTCACCTGATTAAACACCGGGTGAGAGAACGTACGTGCTTGTATGTTCTTCACACCAGCTGCCACAGCGTAAGAAAGGCCTTCAATAAGTGCTGTATACTCGGCGACATAGGCTGCGGTTCCCATCCCCAGATATTTGCCTGATTCGACCAGCACATGGCCTTCGGCATCCCTCAAAGACCAAGCCATTGCCACATGCCCTGGTTCTTCCCTCGCCCTGCCAGTATACAACTTACAGACCTGATTTTCATCCCAATAGTCATCGTCAAGTCCGTGGAATGGCTCCTCATAGATATCCCCTTCTTCCTCCCATTCCGTATCGGGCATCTCATCCACTGACTTTGCGAATTGCCTATCGTGACTCCTCATCCGAAACTCTTGTATCAAATCCTGCGCCTCTTTAGCCGCCTTTTTCTGATCTCCAAGGATTTCCTCAAGTATCTGCAATTCCGCACTCTGAAACCCCAATGCGGAAAAGCGATCCCTTACATCGAGAGTAGTTTTATCTAATGAGTTCTTCGGCAACGTCTCTTGTACAAAGCTCTCCTCCACGGGACGTTTACCCTCACGAATTTGTGATTTGACAGGAGGGACATCCATAGCCGATGCAGCCATTGCCTCCTCCAACTGCAAATCGTAAGCCAGCTCCCAGTCCGAATACATCACCGTCGCCTTATTTACCTCCAGCAGTTGCTGACGTGCTGCTACTACATCTGCCATCTTTCCCTTCTCAGACAAATGCCCCTGTCAATTTCCCCCAGAGCTCCACACGCGCAGATTCAAGCCTTCGACTGACTCCTCAAATCCGATTTACGAAACAAGAAAGAAGAACATTGCAAATCAAGGCAAGACTTCCCCTCTGCCTTCCCTTTCCTCCGCTTTCAAGAACGAAAAAAGTCGGAAGGCACCGATCGCCACTGAACCGCGGACCTCAATCCTCCTCTTGAGCTTCAGATGGGTCAGAGAACATCTACGATAGAAGTACACACTAAAAATACGCTACTGACGATTTCTCTGCAGCTCACATGACTCTCTAGTACTCTGAACAATCGTCCGCCTAAGAAAACATTCGCCCGCGCGAGAAACCACTCGATGCTGCTCCCCGCACATTGATACCGCCTTGAAAAAACGAACAAACGAACACGTCAGCTTCTGTGGAGAAGCTGGTCAGAAGTACCTCGTCAAACCATGTGAATAAAATACGGTGGGGCTGGAAAAGTCAAGCGGCATCAGTGTCGAATTTCCAGAACAAAGTTCCATCAATCCCCATCCTCAGCTAATCTGCCACCAGCAACGAGCCTCTCGCCATTCCTCTAAATCCACGCACTCCCACATCAACAGCTGCCTCTTCAATTCTACTCTCGCCCAAATCAAGAACCACTTCACTGCCCGGGCTGGTCGACCCAACCCACAGACCGGAATATTCGGAATCAGTCAAACTCTCTGAGAAAAATTCCTCCTACAATCAAATGGAATATTAACGCCCCGCAAAGAATCCCAGCGGACAAAATCCAATCATAAGCCCCGTCGCCTAACGCTCGCAGGTTTCATTCCGACAGCCCTACAGCTCTCGTGTGTACGAATGAAGCAATCATGTCATCGCTCAAAACTATTCAGTGTCCGAAAGTCACCTCCAGTCAATCTGCAGCACAGCTTGATCTGCCAACCCTTCCTTCTCGCTGTACTTGGCCCCCTTCCTCTCTAGATCCTTCACCCGGCGGTTCGTATAGATTACGCTAGCATGCGCCTACATGCCACATGCCACATGCCCCCCAAACTGACAAACATTGATGTAAATGTTCATTCCATGTCATTTTGACTTTCGAAGCTTTCATGCCACGTGGCCCAAACTGTGTCTTTTGGACTTTCTGCGCCGAATGGAGGTTTTTAGTCATTTGATTCTAAGCTATTATTTTATATAATGTAACGAAATTCTTTTGATATGGCAGCAAGATGTTCTTTAATCCCAAAGAATAAAAGTATGAAAAGAAGATGTTGCACTCAACATGTACTGTACTTCTATTAAAAAATTTGAATCATTTTTGGTGACTATCAGAGAGTAAATTACTACTCGGTTAACATGGTAGTTGGAACGAATATTTTTCATGATTTATTATATTTTTTTGAAATTGAAACATAAATTATAATACTCTATATAATCTTATATTCAGACCTCTACACTTATGTAGTTGCATTCTCTGTCTCTTGATAATGAATCATCAGATCAACAAAATATACTTAAATCCATTATTGCAATAAAATTAAGATATTATCATTTCAATATTACTTCAACGAAAAAGCTATCAAATTTAATCTATATGTGAACATTTTTATGACAGAAAAATTACTATGATTTACATGCAATAATTGTATCATTGATTATTGTAGTTTGTCATATATTTAGCTCAAAATAATGAAGAAGTCATATGTACATAGTTGCTGTCTATGAAATAATGTGACATGACCAATGAAAATGTAGATGTATTGATTGACCAATTCAATGAGATTCAAAAAAATGAAAAAATGAAAATCTTTTTTTCCTGTAGGAAAATATAATTTACCGATAATGCAAAAAATATTTTAGTTTTCAGATGGCTAAATATAAAATCTAATTCTAATTTTAAAATTTTAAAATTAGAAAATTGTGTTTTGAAATATTTACATCGGACAAAAAATCATATAGATTTATGATTTTTTGTGTGTGAAGATGCATAATTATAAGTATAACCGAATATATTTTTTAAATATACGAGACAAAATCATATAAATAATATAATTTCTTTGTTTCTAAAAATTACAAAATATATGCGAACAATTCAAGCACTTCATTAGTTGATTCATCTTCATAATTGTTCATCACTTTAACTTAGGTAAAAAAAATGCAAATTCTTACAAGATAATAGATTATTGATAAAAAATTCATATAATAAAAAATCTTGTATTTGATCATCAATAGTTAAAAAAATTCTGCAATTTTTTAAACAAATCATTCAAAAGATATATCAAGGGTGGAGCAATTGTCATAAATCATGGATAATTATAAATCTATTTTGATTTCATTGCATTATTGACGCAATTTACCTAAAATATTATTTAAAATGAAACTAAAAATAAGCTAAAAATGACAAGAAATATAGAAATAATTCTTGAATATTTTATTGGAATTTTTTTGCTATTGGTGCATATTCATGCTTTTTTATTTGAAGATCAGTAAAAAAATTAGATCTTTTAATCAATGCTCTAATTCATTGAGAAAGATTTAAAATTTCGGAATTTTTTAGTAAATTTAAAAAATTCCAAAATTTATTACAAAATATACATAGTCATATCATTATAATCATGTGATTTATACATAATATTTTTTTAAAAGGTGAATTTAACTTTTTCCAAAAATTTGTTTATTTCCAGGATTATTTAATGTACAAGGATTTATATATTAAACAGGGAGCTGCTAGTCACCACTCACTTTTCGCTATTCATCACTCAACTCCCATTTTAAAGAACCCCTGCGCACTTTTCTCGCGCTTCGATTGGCTGGATTGAAAGCACTGGCACGGAATCCTCTAGTCAATGTGTGAATTTAGAACCGCGCATGAAGCCTTTAGACTAGCATAGGTTGCTCTGGTAAGTTCTTGGTAACGATCCATGGTGATGTAAGTGGTGTTTTGGACGCGCTTTTCAACAATTTGAAAAGTGGGGGCGAGTGGTGAATAGCGAAAAGTGAGTGGTGACTAGCGGCTCACTGTTTAATATTTAAATTATTGTATATTAAAAAATCCTTGAAATCAGCAGATTTTTATAAAAAAATTAGATTTATATTTTTTAAATATTATGTATAAATAACATGACTATTATTAAAAATAAAAATAAAAATATTGAAAACTATTCTTATCTAATACCTATTATCGCGTGTTTGTTAAACTCGTGATTTGGATTATTGGTCAAGCCGGAGTACTTCCAGGGAAAAACTTCATGAAAGAAACCCGTACCCCAAACCTACACAGGTGAACAAGTAGAGCATACTAGGGCGCTTGAAAGAACCATGTTGAAAGCGCACACTCCTTATGTTGTGGGGAAGCGCAGAAAGAAAAGTACCTGGAGCCCATGTTATGCATCAGCCGACTGTCCATTTCTCTTTCAAGTCGCTTTCACTGAGGCCCTTTGTTGAGAGTATCGCATAAGTGATAAAGAAAAAAAAATTATTTGAAGTGAAATACAAATTTTGAAGATTGGTAACACATAGATTACTTTTTTATATATATAAATGTTTCCAAAGATAAAAATTTTCATTCTCATCATTCTTTTCAATACTAGTCTAACATGACAGATCAATTAGTACTTACCTCACTAACAAATCAACCATATATAATCAATTATAAGTAAATTTTATCTCGAATTTGAGTTATCACTACTTGAGATACAACAAACTAAATATCAATCAATCCCTTGTTGTATTTAATTTTAAACTCTTGTAATTATCAAAGATACATAAACTAAAATTTTAGTTGATTATGAAGCTGATTCATATAATATATATATTTTCATTAAATCAGATACTCTATTTTGAAATATATATGAACTTGAATTGAATTCTTGAAGTATCTTCTTTACCTCAAATTTTATGGTCAAATAGCAAGATTTGCACCTTAATTGTTGCTCATGCTAGTAAGATTGATACATGAGATGGTGCTCATAGATTGATGAATTTCTTTGATCGTAATAAATGTTTTTGCAATTGTCACACATAGATAATAAGATCTATTTTCATATGTGAGTACAGGTTGAACTTGTGTGACATGCCATTAACACGTTTCAATATTAAAAAAATTCTAATGACTCTAATAATAAACTTTGGTTTTTAACAAATGTAGAGAATCAAACATTATCCCTTACATAAAAAATCTTTGCAATGAAAATATACATGTTTTTATGTCAATTTTGAGCAATCATCGGATCTTTTTTGGCTTGAGATAGTTCTTTAGTAAATATGTTTCACAATATTCTTGATTGTTGCTACTTCGATAAAAAAATAAAAAAATTTTGAATCAAATTCAATTGATCTAACATATAAATACTTAACACTAGTTAAAATGAACACATCTTGTGTATGCATCAAAAGATTGAGATATGCAAAAAACACAAGAGTAAAAAAAAATCTCACTCTTGTTGTTACTCTTATGTAATTGCACGTCGTATGTTTTTTGACTCATTATGTGTGATCATCACTTTGAGTGAAAAAACATGCATATGTTTTTGACATTGCTAGTTTTATTTTTAAGAAAATAAAACAAGGACTTTTGTTTACAAATGAGTGAATTGAAATTTTTTATCAATAATTAAGACTCTGCTGAAGCTATGATTTGCAATATTTTCATTTAGATGTAACTAAGCATATTATAAGTTTATTATTGTTTTTATATTTGATTTGATTTGAAGAATCTTACTGATTTTTTTCATCAAAATTATAAACAAATCAATTTGCAACAAGATTCTTAAAAGCTCGCCTTACAAATCTATGATGACATGTTTCTATTGGTGTTAAATTATAAAAAGAGATTTGATAAATTATTTGGTTTTTTATTACTTGTCTTGTTTTATTTAAAAGCTACATTGTATAACTTTAAACATAAAACTAAGAATAGAAAAAAATTTAATAAATTAGTTTTTTGTTTATTACTTATCTTGTTTTATTTACAAGCTACATATACAACTTTGAACATAAATCTCCACATTTTGGTGTATTTTGGATCAATAATACACTTGTGTGCTTTCTAAGAGTTTTTTCACTTTCACATAATCTGCAATGGTTGTATGACAGACCTCATAAATAGTGGCATTCTAAAAATAAATGTTACTTTTGCCACTATTAAAAATGCCAAAATGCTCTTTTAACTTAAGTCATTTAAGTCTTAGTTCATTAGTTGAGGGTCTATATGATCACGAGCGCTATCGTCTGAAGTCTGCACACATCGTTCCTCAATATAGCTCAACTTCTGTCATTCTGCTTCCCCCACTTCATTTCATCATGCAACTATTAATGAAGCGTCAAACTCCCTTTGGTTGTGACCAGAAGCTTGAGTTCGGCTTGAAAATTGTAGAAAAAAGCATTGATGGCAAGAATGTGATTGTTCTCCAATGCAATTTTTGTGTTTTTAATGGGAGGGATACTCGCGAGGAAGCCGACATCAAGCGCAAACGCATCGCAAACATCCACTTATTTTGTTCATTGTTTCGCTTAGAATTGTACTGAAAGCACTTGGAAACAGTGCACATGCAAGATTGGTTGGATTACAATGCGCTTTGTCGTGCGAATATGTATTGTCATACACTCTACATCGATGACATGCTACTCACATACACACTCACATAAGATACGAAATAGTACCAGAACTCACCCCCCTAGCTGGCGGTGAGGTCCCTTTGACTCCCATGTAGCCCTATTTACAACATGTTATACACCTTCATGGGTGCGTGAACTAGTAGACCGGGTGCTATGTCGCCCCATCGTTAGTTGCCTATCTATAATTCATAACATGTGAAGAACAAGTCATCTACTCTTTCGAAGTACATCAAGGACAAACCCATCGTCCAGCCGGAATAACATCGATATGTGGAGTCAGGCACGACATGTTCCATCCGCTAGAACACCTATCACACACTAACATACGAGCCGCTTGATTAGCTGACCCACATAGCATGCACCTCCAACCGGCACTATTCTAAGCTTTGGTCCACATACCATCCACGTTTGGGAGTTGACATGGCGCACAATTGGGCACATGATACTTCCAAACAACACCGTCACGATTTGTGAATAGATCAGAAGAATGAGCCCAAACACAAGTAGTTGAATTGGACGGGTTGTGCTTCAAAAAGGAGCTTGTGACGCTTTCTGTGCTCCACTAAGTCCATGTTCAAAAGCATGAACTGTTAATATCTCAAAGAATTTTCAGTTCGCGTGATCTTAATGGAATCAAATATAATTACATTGCCTACACAACGTTTAATCATAGTAAGGACAATAATTTTGTGGATATATACTCAAGATTGACACAAAGATTATGAATCCTTGATTGTATTTAAATTCTATAAGAGTTCTGAAAATTTTTGATTCGAGCCTATACCCTATCTTCAGTGAGCTGCTTGACATATTTCAAATTCTCTTGTCGATTGTTGAATTTGGATGCATCAAGGTCGGACAAGTCAAAGCTTAGTGGTATGTAATTTGCATGTGTAGTAACATGTCAAAGATCTGGTTGAGCATCTGATGACAACTGAGCAAGCTGGATATGGACATACATTATTTGCAATCTTTGAAGGTAAAGGTTCAGGAGAGTTTCATAATTTCCACGAAAAGGAAGTTACAAGGATTCACAAAATCGCTGATTTTTGGGGAGTGATTACAAAAGCAAAAATTGTAGTTGGCTTGGTTTTTCATAAGAAGATCAAAGGTATCAACACAAAGACAGAGATAGGCATACGGAGCTCCAGAGAATGCATATTTTGTACAAGATTATCGGGATAGTTTCTTGTAGTATCATAGGTCCATAGAGCTCCTTGGTGAAAAGGGAGTTCGGGGTGTGTGAGGAGATACACGAGGATATTACATCGGCTTGCATACTACGTGTTCAATTTTGATAAGGCTGAAAGAGTGTTGAAGGATTCGTTTGGTACGCAATTTACCCTTGTCACAGATCATCAGCCGCTCAAGTGGTTGATGGAGTCCTACAAGCTCACAGGGAAGCTTGCACGATGGGCTCTCATCTTACAAGAGTATGATTTTCTGGTGGTGCATAGACTTGGAGTTGCAAATTTGGATGCCGATGATTTGAGTCGGAACTCATGCACTAGCCAGGAGTATGATCCTAGACCTAGATGGCATGGTGAGGTGGATGAAAAAATGGTGTCTGGTTGGCACGCATCTGCCTTCATGTGTTTGTTGCGTGGAGACTCTAAGTAGGGAAGACCACTTGACATCTTGCTCTAGTCAAAGAGTGGATGGTCAAGACCATTTGCATAAGATCTATGGTCTTGACCATCATCTTCAACCTAAGGTTGAAGATGGTGCTACGAGTATTGAAACCTGATCTATTCACAAGGAGTGGAGAGTAAAGTCGTGTTTCCACACCACCTCGCAACATCGACTATTCCAACTAGATGATCAATTGCTCAGACCACAAACGAATACAAAGTGAGTCTGTGCTGCACCTTTCTAGCTTTCAACTCATATGGCCAGAAATTCCTACCCAGCAAAATTACTTTTGAATCGCAGCCAACTAGAATTCACATAATTTCTTGGAACCTACAAGAGGAAAAATTGGCGATCAATTCTGTCCAAACCAAGTGAATTCCGCTACCGAACATCAAGACTTTCATCAATTTCACAAAACTCTTCTTTGGTGTCCATAGAGTCTGCCACAACTGTCAGAGCTCCGATACACAATCTACTGAAGATGGCTACTGCTAGAACATGTAAATTTCATAAGTAAATTTTGTTTACCACACTTCTTCTTTCCGTTTGAATCTCATGTTCATCAAAGCTACAAGCAGATAAATATCCAATATAACACTCCCTAGTTCTGACCTTGAAGCACCCCTCGCATTGAGCCAAATCAACTCAATTTCATGCACTGATCTCCATGTTAGCAAAAGAAAAACACGATTACTTGCTGCTTAATCTCGTCATTGCACGACTAGTTTTTTCGAAGCCCGCAATCACTCAATAGATCTATCTATCAATGTATGGTCCAAGAAATGACATTCACACTTGCTTTTCTCTGTCACACTTAACCCAAGGTCTGACCTTCGATGATTACTTCTGAATTTTCATCAAAATTCACATACGATTCCAAGACTACGAATAACTACAAACTCATCCGGATTCTATCTAAACCCGAACGGGAGTTCTTTGGGAGAATTTGATGTGTTTTTCTTCACTGGCAAACACGTCAGTCTTGATTATTTAATTAGCAACAAACTGTCACACATACATAAGTCAAGCCCAACCCACTCGTCTCGAGAATCCACGTCGATGCTTCATATTACTCACTTGTCCAACGCTACAGGTTGGACTCGAAGAACTTACGTTCTTCGAGTCGTTGTTGACTCTATACCCTACGTGAAAAGTAATTCTAGCCCGACAGCTATATTTAGTATATAAAAAATACATGAAAGCTTAGTACTGAACAGAAGCATAAGTTCTTCGACAATAAGAAGCGATCAAAAATTCATGCATATGTTGACACCACCAAGAAGAGCATCACGTTCGATATTTGCAATATTGCGACTGTCAACGAATTAATTGGCGATTTGTTCTTCAAGCATGATTTTGACGAAGACAATGAAGAGAGCAAACTGATCTCGAAGACTACGGCTCTCAAGCTTTTTTGCCCCATATTTGATTGCGATGATATGAAAGAAGAAGATGGAGATGCTAATGAAGAAGCTGATCAGGGTGTCCAGCGGTACGCCCGTCACAATTAAGAATCATGTGCGGTTCTAGCTCTCAATTATCATGTCAGCGTCGGTTTGTCGTTCAAACAGACGGCCGCCGTTATCACGGAGCACCGCAATCGCACCAAGAATGCTTAGTTGATGGGCATCAATGATCACATGCTTGGAAATTTTGTTCGCGATCTTTTGGCGGTTGCATTGCAGTTGCTCTATAATGTGCTCTGCAGTTCTGTGAAGGACTCGCAATAACCTTCCCAAACACGTGCGCGGTGAACTCAGACTCTTCTTTGTCAAGTTTGAACTAGACAACCGTCGCACCAATCTCCAATTGTTGTCTTTGGCCGGAATGATGCATTCCAAGCAATATGTTTTATTGTGTAAATTGTTTTGAGTGCACCCGCCACAACTTTTCGCACATTCAATACAAAATGTCACAGATGTCACTTTTAAGAATGATGAAGTGCTACTTTTAAGTTAAGAGTGGCAAAAGTGGCATATGTCACTATTTATGAGATCTGTTTTATGATGACTTTTTGACAAAAGATTGTCCATAACTCTTGATGTTACGCTGATTGCAAAAGATATTTGTGAAACGTTAAACTTTAAACTTTATTTATTTTCCTAGCTTGTAGAGCTATCATGATATCTTCATCTTTCTTTATGATTTCTGTCATCCAGCTTCATCAATCTACTTGAATTTTCAACTTTGCAACATGATTAAAACATAACTATTATGTGAAAGCGTACACAAATTTTTTTGAACTTCCATGTTCAAATTTTCATTTTACAACCTTTATGTCACCTAAACACGACAAGGGTTTAAATATCAAGATTTTTGTTAAGATCAATCATTTTGAGTTTTAAGGTAATTTAATGGTTTATGATCAATTTCACTATAATTTTTGTATCATTCAAGTTATATGTCTAATATTTTGAGTCCAACACAATGGTTCATTTTTCTTGTTTTTCATGTGTTAATTTTTTTAAGAGACCACCAACTTTTGCAAGAAAAATACAACTAAAAGTCAACTGCCATTTCATTTGTTGAATAATGTCATCTATTGTTGAATTACACATGTGAGTATTCAACTTAATACACGAATTAAGATGATATCACTTGAGTATAGATTTGTGTAATAAAACATTCTCCAATGTTTAAAAATCTTACTCTTGAGTTATTTTTCAACTCCAATTTTAAAACCTTTGTCTAACATAGATGTTAAAATTTGAACAAGACTAATAAAATTTTCACAAAGTTACGACATAAATTGCTTTTTTTTTCTAACATGCTACAATAATCCTTGAAATTTCCTCTAAAGAATAGCACATAAGTTCAAAAAAATTCTTCAATATAGTTTGATTGTGAGTTGTTCAATTTTTAATGGCTTTTTTTCATCACTCATCATTTGGATTTTTTTCTCTAATCTTATACTTCAACTTTTGACTTGAATCAAAGCTTCAAATTCACTCTTTGAAGCTTTGACATATAATTCATTCTCTTATAACACATAGAACAACTTTTGCAAATGTCGTCAATGATCTCAAAAAAAAAATTTATCAAAATATTATATAAAAAAAGTTATCAAAAAAATACAATTCATGATTGTAACAAATGCTATAGTGAGTTTAATCACTAAAGAAATTATACTCAAAATAACCATATATTATTATTTATAAAAATATTCAAAAATGATGTTTTGAACTTTTTTATTTACATTGTAAATTTGATTGCATTCTTTCCTCACATCCAATTTGATTAAGTATTTTGCTTCTTAAACTTGATAAAACAAGTCATATATATGAAGTCACAAATATTTTCAAATTAAATAATTGATAATCAATGCATAATCTCATGATTTTATTTTATTTCTCACAAATAGCAATGATGTTTCATAAGATGGAACATTTAGTTGAATAAATACTTTGTTTAATATTCCATCCATTTGATGAAACATCAATGATTAAAATAATAATTTACTTGGAAATAAAACACAACTCTGAAGATGAGAGTTACATAGAATGTAATTTATTTATAAATAAATCTTTTTAATAAATAAAACAAAAAATGTTTCATTTCCACCATCCATTTCACTGCATGTTATTGAATTGATGACATGACAAATATATCTAACAAACAAACAAATTATTAACGTGTCATTTTGAATTAACACTCTATCTATCAAGCAAAAATGTCATTGTCAAGTAACACACTTATATTTTTATTTGCACTTGATATAAAAATTATAGATTTTTTCATCATAATACAAATTAATTCTCATATTCTATAACATCTACTTTGATTTTAACTAACTAAATATGATTACATTTCAGCTTTGCATTCTTCATATAAAGTTTAAATTAGATTCAAATAAACTTGAAGACGAACAGTTAGAGCTTTGCAAATTGATAAGTTTCTAAACATCATTCTAATATTGTAATTCACTTGATTTATTGATGAATTTTTTATGGTAATCATGAAGCTGAATCATCTACAAATATATTTTTAAACTTCAGATAATAAAATTTTTCTTAAATCTAACAGTATCTCTTATATATTCTAAAAATAATATATAATATTCATATATAAAAATAATCTATTAATTACACAAATAGATAATTTTTTATCTTTAAACCAATTTTATTTTCATACATTTTTCAATCACAAATTTTTATCATATATTTAATCTACTTGCAGATTGTATTGTTTCATCCATAACATTACATAATGACAAAACTTTGAGCTAAATGAATAAATCTTTATTCACTATCTTTTTTGTTTTCATCTATAATCAACTTTGCAATCCGTGCTAGTGAATCTATTGATTAATTTTCTTATTTGGCAATTTTTTTTTACATTCACGACCTTCATCAACAAAAATGTCATCGTAATACTTTTTGACACACAATTTTTTGTTGTTCAAAATTGATTTAGAATTTTCATCTTGTGACATTTCATTACTTTAAGTGAAATACTTAGTTTAGTTTTTTTTTCATCTTTTAAATTTCTAAAAATCCCCTCAATATTCCATGTGTTTTTGTTTTATGAGGCTCGTAAGTTGTAAAACAAATTTATTGATGATTCTTTACAAAATTTCGCTTGTCGATGAATTATCATAATTAATGATACAAATCAAACTTATAATATAGCGAATGTGTTATAATTTTCATGCACAAAATATTTAATATAAAACATAAATGATACAAATCACTATTTATCCGTAACTAGCAATTGAAAGTATCAAAAATCTTCTCAAATTCATCATTCAAGTCATTATTTGCATCTTAATATGCCAAAATGCACACCCAAATATGATGCTTCTCCATGAAACAACGGTGGATTTCAGACAAATTAGATATTGAAGTTATATTCTATCTATATCAATAAAATTAAATTTTTTTACTTTTTCTTTTTCTCTACATGCAACTCAATGAACTTTGCTAACATTACTATAAACTTTTTAAAACTTAAAGTCAACATCACATTTTTGTGATTTCATGGGAAGTGATTTATCCTCAAGTATAAAATATGATAACTCTAATGTTATTATAACATGCATGATAAGAGAATCTAAAGAAGAATATCTAAAATGATTTTATTTTTAAAAAAGATGAATTTAAAATAAATACAAGAAATAAAGTTTCACTTTCATGATGCATTTCAATTTAATAAATTGATAACATGACAAATATATCATATAGATTGCTAATGTGTCGTTGTTATTAACAAGTTAGCAATTTGTGTGCTCTTAAGTGATATTCATAACAACTAACAATTGAATGTGCTAGTTGAAAACAACACATTCATTTGTTAACAACTCAACAAGTACTCGGATTGGTGAAGTGTTATTGTTGATTAACATATTTCTTCTATATTTATCATGGAGTGTTAATATATTTATTTCTAACTAACCAAACACATGAATCTTTGACGTGACAATCACAGATTATTAACTATAAGTCAACTTTATCTTTATTTTAAGTAATATTTATATCATTTTAAATGAATAAATCTAAAATCATTCAAATATAATCTGTTCTTAAATGTATTTATTTACTTATTTTAAAAATAAATTAAAATTATTTTTAAAATAATGAAGATTCAAAATTTTAAATTATTCACTCATAATCTATGAGTTTTTTATCTCTACATATTTTTTTTATGTCAAAAAAATTCACTCATCAATGATTATATATATATATATATATAATTATAATTGTTTGGATTTATTTAAAAACATCACATGCAGAATTATTCATCTCAATTGAGATTTTGAGCATTTAAGCCACAATTAAAAAATATAAAGTTAATACATACTGAATATATTTAACTATTTAAGTTTTATGACAAATATTTTAGTTCTTCTCAGAAAATTAGAAAATTTCAAAATTTAAAATTATCAGTAAGTTCATCTCAAAATAAATAATATATGTCAATTTTGATAAGTGATATTTGATTTGAGTTTTTTAATGATTTTACATTTTTCATATAATCATTTAAATTCAAAGTCATCACATACGTGATGTAATAATTTTAAAAATAGCTTAAATTGCATTGATATATAATTTGAATGTAATTTGTAGCAACTGCCAAGGCTAAGAAAGAAGCGAAATAATTCATAAAATACAAGACTACTTTAGAAATTAGCAATAATGTGTAACTTGCCTCCAATTCTTTATGTTTAATAAAATTTTCAGAAAATCTTAAGTAGAAAGTTCTTAGATTATCATTAACATGTTATAAGATTTTAACCTTACGATTATTTATATTTAAAAAATTAAAAGAATTTTTTTTATTTTTAAAAATCCTTCTTTTAAAGTTGTAGATTTAAAATTCATGCAAAAATCACAAGCATTGTTTTGTATGTATTGTTACCTATTTATAACTTTATGTTTTCTAAAAATTGCATTTGATTTAGTTGAGCTGAATATTGACATAAAATTTATAATTTTATAATCCTTATTTATTAAACATGTAACCCTTCTAAATTTTTCAAATTTCAAAAAATTATCTTTCATCTAAGTAAAAAGTTGACATAACTTGTAAATGTTTCAAATTCATTTATGTTGAAAACATTGACAGATGCATGTACCATAGCCAAAGTAATTTTCTCCCAAGTTTTGCTATCTAACTCAAGATGATTTACACATACTATAATTTAATAACTCAACCTATACTCGTGTGATCAATGGTACGGAAATACAAATGTTCAAACAATTGGTTTTTGGCAATAATATTTAATTTTATTCTTGCAATCTATGTTTTGCTACTGATGACAATGTTCATCTTTCTATTGTGTATTTGAATTCTATTCATTTCTCATCACATTACATATGGACATATTTTCTAACAAGTATGAAGAATCAACATTTTCTCATCAATAGATAAAGTTCAAATTTCAATCAATGAAGATCTTGATTAAAATCGCCCGTTATACAAGAATATTTGACTTAACTCATCTCAGCTGAAAATGATGAAGACAGTATATATCAAGTTTGAAAGGGAGGAATTTTGATTACAAATAAGAAAATTCTGCTCAAATAAGATTTCATTTGCAATTTCACAATTATCTTGCTCTGGTACAGCCGTATCTGTTTGCGAAAGGTGCTCTGGAGTCCACGAGATAATGCACTATCTCTCTCCCAGTCTCGACCGAGAACTGTAATTGAGAATAGAGGCAAAGGTTTACTTCGTGGTACCCGCAGATGAAGTGAATTAACTTACACTTTGAGTTTGACGATTTACTCCGTCCCTGACGGCAAGTGGTATAGATTAGGCCTCGGCAAGGTAAAATATATTTTACTAAAAGGTAAAAATCACGGGTAAAGGTGTGAAGTAAGTCACGGGTAACTTAGAGTAAAGGTAATGTTCAATTATCTAGCCCCTTACCCGATTAATTATACGTTAAATTTGCGCTTAGTTAATTACATTCTTGTGCTTTAGACGTGATCGATGGACAGAAAAGAACGTACTGTAGAGCACTGCAGACATTTGGCATTGTAGTCTTCGATAACGCATGACTTTCGTATATCCAGCTGGCTAGCATGGCAACAATGTGTGGGGGTGAAACTTGAAGGACAGGGTTTACTCACAAGTTCATTACATTCTTGTGCGGCGTTTGTTAATCTGGTTAAGTTTACGGCATGGTAAATTGCGTTCTTGCGCGGCATTTGATGTGCATACTGATTGGTCGCGATAGTACGTTCGAAAAGAGTTTAGAGACTGGTTAGAGAAAATCCAAACCGAATAGAAATGAGCAATAGAAACTTCACTACAGAGCATAGAAAAAAATGACCACTGCGGAGAGAGTAAAATGACCGGCAGCCACCGAGACAGGCTGAACCGGTCCAGCTCCATGCCATGGGGTACGAGGGAACAAATCTCAGAGTACGAGGTTCGGGTAACGAGGGAATAAACGTCGAGAGGAGAAGAGCGAAGCAAGACGATTGGCGGGGCCCACATTCCTATCCAATACGATGGCTGCGTCGTACTGCGATGAAGGCGAGATTGGCGAGAGTCGCAGTTCCTCTCGACGAGACTCCATCCAGCGAGGTACCAAATCGGTAAATGGAACCAAAAGGCCCCGAAGGTCTGAGAGAGACGCCATCGCAATCTCGAGACTGCGCAGGGACGACGAGCGTGCTTAGGAACTGAACTTCGCCGTAGTTCAATTGCACATTTCAGCGCAGCAGACGTTTTTATCCCTCCTCCTCCTGCTCAAGGTTAGAGTCTCAGCTTCAGCTCCTTCTGTTCCTTGGGCTGCTTCATGGCGTTCGAAACTCTATTGCAGCGAAATCCTTCTGACGTGCTACGAAGTGAATTTGCGTAGGGCGTGAAATCTTGGTGAGTCGTCGTCGTCGAGGTGCTAGAATCTGATAAGTTGAGGAAGTAGAGCTTGGTGAATTCCAGGCGGAAGGTCGGTTTGAGTAATTGGAGAGACCGGGCGTGGACAAGGAGATTGTCGTTGTACTGCAGAGGCTTTTGTTTGACGTTGAAGAAATTGAGCTCTAAGAGAGCTCGCTCGGTGAAGCCATGGCGCAGGTCGTTGCTGTGGGGTCGAGCTTCTTGATTGCAGCTGGCTGTCAGATGCACGCGGCCGCCAGCCTGCAAAAAAACACGCCTGTAAGTACGACGGTCAATTGCTTCTTGGTCGATCTTGAATTCTCACATGCCATCTCAGAATCTCTCGCACTGATTCTGCTTCTAGTGATCTCCGCATTTGCAACAAATTGTTCGCATTTCTTTGTTCTTCTGGACGGCAGAACAATCTGTGTAGAGGAGCTAAAGCTCTGAGCTCTATCAATGAAACTTGGCGTCTTTTCAGACAAGTAAAATGCCTTCACGCAGCACGAATTTCGGTTCTCTAAGGGAAAATCTACGAGATGTCTGACACATATATTTCACTTTTGCAGTTCCGGAAGGCACAGAGTCTTGCAATAGCGACACGGAAAGGCGCTCCAAATACCTCACATTGGGACCACAGGACGAGAATCCTGACAAGAATCACCGCATCTGGGAACGAAGATCAAGAAGAAAACGTTAAAGAGAACGTGACCAGAAGAAGCACTCTCCAACAATTAGATGAACAGCTCACGACGCTGTCTGAAAGGGACGATGCACCTGCTTCCCGTCCGTCCTTAGGTGTGCCTTTCTCGAATCCCACTTAAATTGTCGCATTTTTTTGAGAGAATTATCCAGAGGACTGTCCTTGTACCTTCCGTACGGAGTGAGGGGCACCGAGAATTAAAATTTGTGCTTCAAAGGTCTTTTTGAACCGAAGATAGTTCATGTTTAAATGCCATAACATGTAGTTTTTGGGTATCATCCGGAACGTAGTACGATGAGGACTTCTTTTCTAGTATGCCAGTTTCGTACGAGCTGCATCAGAGTGGTCGCCAAACAGTGCACGATGAATCGCTTTCGTTCGCCACGATCTGTTGCGGTGTGCTGAACAGCAATTTTTATGCTTTGCACACGTAGATATCATTCTAACAGCGCGAAATTCCGCAGGTCCATCAACGCAGCAGGTAAGGCCAGTGAAGAGAAAACCCGGGGAAGAAGGCGATGGCGCCCTGGAGTGGCCCGAATTCTCACCTGGATTTCTGGGATTCTTGGGCCTCGCACTCTTGGTGCTTACAGTCTTCAATAACCTCCTCTACAGAACGTTCCTCGGGCCCCCGGTGGTACCTTTTCGGACGGGAGACCCGGTTCTGAGTTCGGCAGGTGAAGGACGCCGGTATAGAATTTCAAGTCTCTCTGAGGCAAGGGATGCGAAGGAAGCTGAAGAGGCAGCGGCTAAGCTAGCAGCAGGGCTCCAGGCTCCCTCATTAAGTTCCGACTAGGAGACTTGAGGCTCTTAGCTCTTGGACCTTCTTCTACGACTCCAACAGTAGATTTGTTGGTAGGATTGTTTATATTGAGGTTGTGTTGAAACCGGTCAGACTGCAGAAGAGTTCATGTTCTCAATCCAACGACAAGATTAATCAAGGATGAAGCTTTGGCCAAGTCTGACCACCATTATAATTTTGACACTTACTACTGCAGCTTTTGCGAGGTGACAAGAACAGACGAACACGTAGCGAAAAAATAATTGGAAGAATTGATCAATGCAATGTAATTGCATCTCCTATTTGTGAGAATTCTCTGATTCCAAGCGGCCGCCAAGGGATGAATCGTCTGTCTAAGACGAAGTCAAGACTAATACAACCCGAAGTCACAACCGATAGGTAAGTGGTCGCTAGGATGGTTGTGATTGGGGAGCCCACCGAGAACTTCAAGTGCTCCTGGCTTGGGAAGGGCCAGAAGGGTTCTGGGTTTTAAGCGCTCAGATGGAACGAACAATATATAATCAAGAGTGCCTACAAAAGTTACGGTATAATTTGTGAATGGCGGTTCCTCATCGGCGTAAGCATACAAACTTACGGTTGGTAAAGGAAATTTCGATGACTGATCTATTTTCACGACCCATTCTTTCACTTCGCCTGTGTTTTCTTCCTTTGATTGGACGTCAAGCTTGACTAGCTTGTCTTCCAATACTTTTACATCCTCCTCTAGTGCCTTCGGTTGATCAGATAAGTCCGTTCCTGAAGTAAGGTACTTGTACACCTGTCCGACACAAGTGGATTCGAATCTTAGTACAAGCTTGCAAACCATGCTTTCCAAAATCCTGCCTTCAAGCATAAGCACCAAAATATCCAACATGCAGGAATTAGCCAGAGAGGAACTTACGGAGTCTCCGGGAAGTGAGTTGAAGTCTCCAGTGACAAACACGAGAGGATCTACTCCTTGTTCTTGAGCAATTGAACTTTTGAAGGTTACGAGGGAATCCGCGAGATGATGTACTTGTGCGAGCTTCACATCCATCAAGACTGGATCCCTGGTTGCAACCGAAATAGAAATAATTTTAAAAAAGGAAACTACTTCTTGTTACAGAGGGATCTGAAATGATGGGAACGGTTTTAAGTATTATGCATTGCAAGAAGTACTGTAAGAACTGAAGTCTGCAGAAACAAGGGAGACAAACTCAATAACACTTACCAAAATATATGGGTGTTAGCCAAGACAAAAACGTGATCCGGTGCTTCCAAGGGCTTAAATGCGGCGAGGATGCCAACGCAATCGCGCTTCAACCTCACTCGGACATCATTCAGGTCTCCTATCTTCTGAGCAGCTTCATCTGCGTGTAGAGAAATTTCTCAATGTCAGCAAAAGAACCAAAATTCGACAAAAGTTCTAGCTTGAGTTTCAGAAAGGATGTCTACGCAATGAAGAATGAATGGCGCAGGTGCACAGGAGCCTTGACATGGACTCGACTTACCACCACTACCGTCTTCAACTTCATCGTCGCTGACTTCTTTTTCTCCAGGGGGAAGTGGGGGAACAAGAACATTATAGTCGATGATTTCCTCTGAGAGCAGCGAGACCCTGCTTCACAGCAAGTATTAAAATTGAGCTTTCTCAGATGAATAAGAAGAAACAGGTTAAACTATGTTTGAAATAGATTTCTGCTGACTACAAAGTTCAAGAAGTGAAAAAAGTCATTTATTCAACTACGAGCTGTGGCTGCTTCGAAAAATCGGATCAGACATTATCAGTTGGTAATAGATAGGTTCAAGCATGACCATAGACTCCAAACAAACGAACATTCTTTCATGAAATTTAAATGGGATTCCACCGACTACAAATATAAACGGTGAGTATCACTCGGGCTCGACCGGAGGTTTTAGATCAATGCATGCAGGCAGGAAGGCAGGGTTATCATGTGACATTAAGTACAGTCTTACCTCGTCCTCTTGAAGAAAATCCCACATCCATCTTTCTTCTTGTTCCCACGCTGGACGTAAACACTTCCATATCCTGCCTTATCTAGTATTTCCTTGTAAAATGTATGATACTCATCCAGTTCCTGCAATCACCATTTACCACTCAATGAGGAAAGATCAAGTACGAAATGCACGTCAAAAGAATAAGGATGACACATGTGAAGATGTACATGATCCAGAATTTGTTTCGTACGTTCCACATGCCAAACTAAAGAGCCGCCCATCCCAGTTCGCTTTATTGTTCAGACATAATTGGATTTAGTTGTCTGAACAGGTAGCGCTAACTTTTACGAATAAGAGATGTATGTAAAATGAAAAGCAGGCCCAGGACAAATTATAATGGACAGAACCTGGAGGCACAAAAGATCGGCATCAAGCGCTAAGAGTCGAGACACCACAGCTTCCGATCGATTCTTCCATCTGCATGAAGTAACAAAGATGCAGACAGAGTCAATAATTTTGTTTTGACTTTGTTTTGTTCTGACTCATGGTATCTTTAGTTATGGATTGCGTTACTGGACATCTCTGCCAGTGGTTTTACTCAAAATTTGAAAACGAAACAGACCATGATGTGTATTTTGTAATCCTAAATAAGAATGCACGTCGGGAGTAACTTCTTCGACGCAGATTTAACGAACACCTATAAGGAAGCAGCATAACTTCTTCATCGCCCATCACGTAAATAATGGTACACGCTTCTAAACCAGATTTCGAAGGAGCAGCCAGAATATCCAGTACTTAGTCACGCGTTTTTTATACTCCCTAGAGCATGGGAGTAGTAAACTCGGGGAAAGCTTAACGGAAAATGTAAGCTGTTAGTGATTTTCTGTACCCCACTCTATATGATAAGACCATGGGTAGTATGAAAGGACACTTTGACCTGTGCGCAGTTGTATCCCAAAAAACTGGAACGACTGAATCTTTCTCTTTCAAGAAAAAAATAGGAGTTGTTACAGATAAGACCCGCCGGAAGTCAATCACTCCAACCTCACATTTGCGCGACAACTCCCCGCCAGAGCTAAAACAATTAACCAACAATAACAGAGGATTGCAAGACCATTGCAGGACCATTCCCAAGCGATCTTAGGGCCCCTCTCTTTGAATTTCTTGTATAAACCGAGCTCAGCTCGCAATGAGAAGTAATCTTCTCATTGTCTGAAACATGGCGGAACAAAAGATTCCATCGTTCTTGTCACATTTGAAAGTGCAAGGCGTAGAAGCCGCATGTTTCGTTTGCGATGACGAAACTTTGATCTTCAGAAAAGCTTCCCATCCTTGTTCTTATTTAGAGTGTCCACTGTTTTCAGCCTACATTTTGTGCTGCGAAGTGTTCTTCTGTTTCAATGCTTTGAAAACGGTTTAATCCCACGCGGAGTAACGTAGACCGTCCTGGTTGGATGATCTTATATGGGAAAAACTTATTTACTCTCTGGAAAACTATCAGGAATTGACTCGACTCTACTGGTGGAGAATTGTAACATTTGCTTTACGGGATATGTTGAAGTTCTCAAACTCAAAGATCGAAAGCAGTATTTCTGGAAGACATGTAGATACAAGACAGGTTGCAGTTCACGGTGGAAAAGCAAGTCGTTTAGAACTGAGGCAGACCGGGGTGCTCAAAGCACCAGATTGTTAAGAGACTAAACTATTCAAAAAATCATTCCCGATTTTCCTTGGGCACACCTCCCGCCCTATCCAAGAAAAGCCCAGAGAAGATTGAATAGTTCAGACTTTCATCGTTCTTTCTGTCTCGTTACCTTTTTAAAAATATATAATACTGTAACACCTTTAAGTTGAAAAAGTCTAGGTGCAGGTTTAGGGTTTCGGGTAAGTGCAGGTATTGAGTCTTGGCTTTTAGCTGATCTGATGTGAATGGGGCTACAAGTAGATTTTGGACCCTGCTGTAGACTGTAAGATTAGCTGGACTGTCATGCTGGTAATTCACAACTTGGTACGTCTAGCTGAATGGATTTGGAGGGTCTGCGCAGGCAATATGCAGTACGTTTTGTTGATGTTTATTGTAAAACCTAGTGAGTCTGGGGCATAAACAATGAGTTTGTGGTCCTCATCGTTCAAAACGTACCAAATGTGTAATATATGGCTTCTAGTTTCTTACAGAACGACAATCAAGCACATAAAACAAGGAACTTCAAAACGCATAAGCCAGACTGGGTCAGATGTCAAGTATACTGCAAGCGACCAAGTACCTGAGGCAAGAGCGAGGTGAGTGAGGAAAGTTTGCGCTCTTCACATATGCCTAAACACAATCAACATATTAATTAAGTGCTGAAAAAGCTGCAACTTACTTTCATTTCAGGTCGACTCTTGCCAGTGTCGACCCAATAATCTGGCAAATATGCTAATGACACAATCTGGAATAACAATCGCTTCAGGTCAGTGCTCGACAAGCTTAACTGGGCTAGAGTACATCCATTGTGAAGAATATCAGCCAAGCAGGAGCTCCTCGGGAACATGATATAGAAATTGGCATGAAGAGTATTCACATCTCAGTAAAAGTCACGGTGGGCAACCCACCTGAGCAAGAATATTATAAGAAACTATTCGGAGAAGGCCTGAACGTCACACAAGGTACACAGCGTCAAAAAGCATTGCCTTCAGCATCACAAGCCGACGTTTGGATGAGTACAACTACAAACACTTAAAAAGCGACGGTCATGGAACTTTTGTAATATAAATATAAGTGAAAACTTCCAGCTCTTACATTTTGGATCGTCTGTAAAAGCGATAGTGTCCGCCACAGGAACAAAGTTTGGCTTCCAGTCACATTTTGCTGCAGTCATCTTACCCTGCAATGTCTGCGACAGTCCAGGGCATCAGAGTGCTGCTCATCATCAAACCGTGATGGTAAGATTCTCAAAACTCACAAAAATCACAAACAGAATCAGGGTGGGATGTGTCAAAAATTCGCTTTTGACCTACTCAGGTTTGTATCTGCCAGACAAACGTCTAAATTTACTCAATTGTCAAAAACACCAGAAAAAGTCGCCTATATAAACTACGGTTCAAACCAGACATGATTCAGCTGATAAAACAATAGACGGGATCAATGTCAAAAAAATAAAAATGGAACTGTCATCACAAATAAGGGTGATATTTGTGAGGGATTTCAGGCGAGAATAGTCTAGCAATGAATGGACTCCTATGATGGTCCGCCGCAACCCTAATGTACGAGGATCGGATTCAAGCAGACTGTGGTGAACCTCGCTGATACATTCATCTGCCGAGTGTCTTGGACGGTGTATTTGAACGGTGCTGAAAAAATCAGATGCCAATCACATCGTAACCTTTGATGTAGAAATTGCTCGATGTTCGCTGAAGCTCAACGCAGTAACACGGGTATAATTTCAAAAGTGCGAATACAGACGACGATTGACATTCGAACATGAGAAAACTTTTCCCATGAATTGCAAGGTATCAGTCATGGAATCAGTCGGGCCAGATCCCTTACTGGGTCCCATCACCGTCGCAAACTAGTTGCCAAAAAAATGTGCAAGGAGCAAATTCAGCATAAAAAGAAGCCGAGGGAATTTCCTTCAGAACCACATCCCCCAACCATTCACAACTGTTTGGTTTTAGATCTGAGAGCATTATTCCTCAAAACAGTAACCCACCGTTAAGCGCCGGGCCGACGCCACGATTTCTAATGTCAAGTTCGACCTCCGAATTGAGAGCGAGACGTAGCCACGAAACAAACGAGTGCACGCTAAAGCAGCTCCGGACAATCCCAGCAAAGGCAACATTCCTCTAAATGCCTCGGGATCCCTCCCCTGGATCCCACCAGTTCGTTCAGCGTACGACTCCCGTAACCCTCTTTCTACATGTGCCGGCTATTCTCCAGATTTCTAGGCTGAAGCATCGCCCTGTGGCTGGTTCTGTCAGTATCTCACCGTCCGATGGGAAAGCAACGGCTTCGATACTAATCTTGGCAGATATATAGTTCCGACCTGCGAATTACGACAACTTCGACTTCATTGTTTTTATCCATCGACGTCTCATCTCCAAAATGTTTAAGACTGTAACCGATATGTACTTGAAAGAGGCAACGAGTTGTGTGGCCACTTTTTCTGAGGTTGTTACGGAATTAACGTAAGTTATTTGTCAATTTTCTGATATTCAACGAAATTACTCGATCAGTGGGGTATGGACATGGGTCCATGGAAGAGCGAAGAGTGGTGAAGTGCCTGAGGCAGATGCTGCCAAATAACAACTTGAACCGAAGAGTTAATCAAAGCTACTTAGTATCAGCCTCTCGCCTAGCCGATCCAATTTTAAGCGCTAGAGCATCACGACATTCACACTGGATCTTGTCATATCTCACTCTTTCCGGAACCAGTCGGGTCTGTGTTCTTTTTAAGCACCGCACGGTGCTGCCTATCGGTGGTGGAGAGTGAAGAGTGGTGAATTGCCTGAGGCAGATGCTGCCCAAATAACAACTTGAACCGAAGAGTTAATCAAAGCCACTTAGTATCAGCCTTTGCGCCTAGCCGATCCAATTTTAAGCGCTAGAGCATCACGACATTCACACTGGATCTTGTCACATCACACTCTTTTCGAAACCAGTCGGGTCTCTGTACTTTTTAAGCACCGCACGGTGCTGCCTATCGGTGCGTCAAAGAGAGCAGGGAAGAAATTACAGCTCGCCCGAACGGGACAGGAAGAAAGGTTGGGAAGGGCCTAGAAATCGAGCGGGATCGGGGTAATATGCGCCTGAACATTCTCTAGATCATGAACGTGCACCGCATTGGACTGCAGGGGAGCTGCTAAGTTGGAATCAAAATAGATGAGATGGGATGTACGATGTGTCTGCATCTCATGCGCTGGCGCAGATTTTAGCTGCGTGCCATTCACTTCCTGTAGACGTCTGTGCGTACATTCTCTGGTGTACAAACCAGACACTGAGTTCCGATTCTGCGCACCGTGATATGATCTGCGATCTGGTATGTGCTTGACATGCTTTATTGGCCATTTGGCTGCTTTTGATGGCTACTCTGATGGGCCAGATGTTGGGCCCCTCCGCTCTGATTCATTCTGCCTTTGCCAACAACAAATACGATCCCATGTTTTCCCATCATAATTCTACGATCTGTCCACAAGTTTTTGATCCACTTTCCAATGCGATGACTCCTTCATAAAGTCTGGGCCTTCCATGGCCACTACAATCCAACAAAGAAGGACAAGACACCAAACACAGATTCTCGTACACGTCTCCTTACATCATGATCCTCGTCATCCCTACCCTTCCGTGACTAGAAACGCACAGATACCCAAAAACGCTTTGTTTACACCTTTACTTGTATCTGCATCAGCTATTAACTTTTCGTAACTCTACAGAACAAGCAATGGTTGGAGAAAAATCTGATGAACAAGAAATCCACCTGCGTACTCAATCCGATCAATATATTATATATTTGGAGGTGCTGAACGCAAAGAATGAAACATCCGATCGAGGTATTGTCCAACTCACGCGTTACCACGCAGGAAATTCACAATCCTAGAACTTCACATTCTCGCCAAGCGCTGAGTCCGCCACGAGATTCTGGGAATTTCCATTTTTTTAAGGAATCCAAAAGATTAAGATTTTGGCTGTACCACATCCATCGTAACTTAGTGACAACTGTCCTCTGTTTGTTGATCCATTTTATGCCTTCCTTCTCATAGAATCTAGTCAACCATGTCCGTAACTTGGTTGGATGTCGCATTAGTGAAAGAAGTTTGATCGTAAGCACAAGAAGTCACAGCTCACTGAACATCATCAAAGTCAGACGGTTCTCTCGTGGTGTCTGACACTGGTGCATTGTAGTCATATCACTGGCATCCACAACACGGTCTTGGGTAGCCTTTACGCTTCTGGTCTCCGCCAGTGTTCTAGAAGCAAAGAATAGCACTCGGTTTTGAACGATTCAGAGGCTTTTCACGCTTCATTTAACACTTCCGTGACTCTCCTTGGGAAATTCTTTCAACCTCTCCAGTTACATGATTCCTCTAATTGCTTCAATTCTGACCTTTCCTAAAGCAACGCAAACCTTGCAGAGACAAGACTAACACTACGTAGCACTAATCTGCTAAATCCGACGAAGAAGCGAAGAAAGGGTCCACGTGTCGACCGAATTTTCATATTTCACTGCTTCAGTAAAGTTCAGGAATAACGGTCTAGTCAAGAGCACATTTTGGTTACAGAAACTCCTGATTTTCAAGTGTATCAAGACATGAGAGCTTGGAGACAGAGTCATGTAGAGCCTATAGACCGCCTTCTGCTGGGCCAAACAGCCAACTCAGAGGTCACTCTAGCATCCACGACATCAGAAGACAATGTCAAAGACAAGGTCGTTGAGCTTTCGGAGGAATAAGTCAATTTCGTGTGCGTATGTACGGAGATCCGTTTGTCAAGACATCTGAGAAAGTAGTTTCATTTTTCGGTCACACTGCATCACTAATACATCAGGCCCAAATTATTGTCCCGAGCGATGCCCATACTGTTACAGCCCTGAACAGTATTTCCTTCAAAGAGGGTCTAGACTTAGCCCAGCTCGTGTACGAAGGTAGAGTGCAAGAAAACGCAACAGTATTCTAGTACTTCGCAGGAAATCTTGAGGCACACAAACGAAGGCATTAGACGCAATCCTACAATAAGTCCAACGGAATCAGTCTCTACCTAAGCCACCCCAGTCCGTATTCACTATCAAGAGCTTCTCTGAAAACAGCCATTCCCTGCACTCCTGGAGTGCCTGACTGTTACACCCGTATGTTAGTCATAAGATCGACCCATCCTACTGAAAGTTCCTCCGCGTCTTTCTCGATTTACTCCACCTTCCCTGCAGGCCTTCATCAGAAACGCCTCTGATTAACATGCGCCTGCACCATACACCCGTGATGACGGCATCGACGGATCCGAACCATCAACTCGATGATCGTTACGTATCCAAACAGACTCCGAACGTATGCAACTTCGTATGTAACAGCTATCGATCTGAAACTCCAGTGTGCCATACCTTGTGCGCACACGGCGTTCTGCAGTCATCTCCCGTTTTGAAGACAGCCATTGAAAACTTGTGACCATGCTAATGAACAGATATTACGCAACACAGACCTGCGCTGATACTACAATCGCAGAATCATTGCAATGTCAAGACCTGGACTGAGATCTATGAACACAGTAGAAACGGAAGTGATAACCTGCGCTATGCTTCAGATCAGTTTTGCAGCATGTTTCTCCTCACAGGGTATCGTTTCAACGCACAGTATTTCGAAAAGAATTGGTCACAAATCATAGGATCCACTGGTTGCAATGATGGGTGGGTCAGATAGTACACACCTGAAGGAGCTCCAGTCCCCATGCACTTGTACTTCACCCCAGCCAGACGTCAGCAAGTACTCCTTTTGGAGTAGTCAATCTACAACTTCCATACAGTTGCATTCCTACAGAGCAGCCGTACCTCTAACCCATCATGAACTTCAGCTCACGCCAACTTATGTTGACCCACATCGTCTCTATTTCAAGCCCGCATCGGCTATACTGAGGCGAGAGACTTTTAGATCAAGTCGCAGCTTGGCTACAAAGCATCTGAAACCAATAGGTATGCAATGCAAGAGTTTCGAGAAGCGAGATAGACACTTTCCTCGATGCCCGATTGACATGAAGCACGATGAGCCAGAACTATCGACAAAAACAAACAGATCTTGTGTAAATCAACATGAAACCTTCGTAACAATCCTTTCAGTGGCCCACAATCGACCCTCAAGAGCTCAAGCCTACACGGAGAGAACGCGTACCATTTCTGAGACCAACCACTGGTAATAAAATTGTAGAGCCGGGAGAACGGCTTCTTTTATTCACTGGGGAAAATGGGAGATATGAAAGAAATCCTTTCAACCTTCTCTCAAATCAATACAAAGAAGAATGATGTCTTGAATGAAACATGATCAAGCAAACTCTGCTAGACATGATCAAGCAAACATGAGGCCACGTAATGGCGTTTCATAGGGAATCAATTTCAGGCCTTCAAAGACCAGTCGAACTTATTAAAAGTAGCCAAGTCTTAAGTTCGTTGGCTAGCTTTCATTTATTACTTAGGGTAAAATTATTTTGATGAATGTCTTGAAAACTGTGTACGTGAGGCACTCTCTGCTATGGATATTCTCATCTATTAAGCTACTATACACGATAGGTACCCGTTCTAGTCCAGTACTTCGCTAAAAAACCTGCTAGACCTTTTAAACGTGTTAGACAAAAGTTCTAGCAATACCTGGAGAAAGCACCAATCCTTTGAAGGGATGTAATATCTCGTTACAGTTGTCCGGTTATTGGGGAGCCGTGGCTAAGTAAGCCTCTACGCTAATCGAACATCGAAGAAAACTGGCCGTATACACATTCTGTAATGATGCCAGTTGGGTATGGTTACCGCCCAAAATTTGATGATCCGTGTCTTATCGACTGTTCTCTACCAGTTGCTCTTTATCGGTCTCAAAATCGCTCTCCCTCCTTTGCTGTGCGTGAGTGCAGGCAGACCGTGGTGATGACCAGGGCCCTTCACATCGTTGAGAAGGGATACTCTCGTACGTCTCAGTTGCTCTCCGCACTGCTTCGTGAGCACAGGGTTCGGAGTGTGGATGCCGTTTCTCCAGTGCACACTGCAAGGAAACTTGAGGTCAGTCTGACTGTAGTCGCTGGTCCTTCTTTCGGAGTTGGACAGCCACTTCGCAATCATGTAATCGAGGGTCCGCCATGGAGGCAAGGGCATAGAGTTCTGCCTCAACGAGTTCTTCGCAGCTTCTGACATGATATCCAGCACCTGCTCGAGTTTGCCCTTAGTGCCCACGAATATGGCAGGTAGGGTCTGAAGGGCCGCCAGGTAATGCGGAGTAGGCCTGGCGATCTCGAACTGCGCCTTGAAGTCGATGTCGACGATAAGGCGCTCTTCGGCGACACGATCTCCTTCCAGTATGACATCAAGGTACTCATATTCACCTGCTCATAGAGGAAAACGATGAGGTCAGCCATACGAACTTTTGAAAAACACGTATACTAAGACGGTTACAACCAAGTGCAGAGCCACGATTATTCTCGCGGACCTCGAAGCTATTGGGGAGAGAAAGTATTCACGGCTAGAACTGAGAAGATCCTTTCAACTTCGAATTATAACATTGCTCCCAGTTGGTAGGTATTGAGAAGTTTCGCACCTCCAGGGACCCGGCCTGAGTTTTGCCAGCGGGATTTACACAGTGCCGCATTGTAACCGGCAGATCGCAGGTTCATAACAACAAATCGACGCGTACAACTTCCTTTACACTCGGAGGGTCCACTGCTGTGAATGAGATCAGTGTCCTCGTTGATAGCTAAAACTAGTATGGTCACGTTTGAAAGCAGGTCCCTATGAAGGGGTTCTGATGGCGTTGTCAAAACCTGCACCACATGGACGACAGAGCATCAATTCCTGTCACATGGCTGGAACATGCAAAGGTAGAATCGCAGTATTCCAACGAGCAGAACACTAAGGAATAAGTCTGTCGAGTTTTGACAACCCCGCCCACTGTCTCTACACATATGCATAGACGCAGAAGGATAACGGTGTCCTGAAGGTTACCTGTAGAATTTCACAAAATTTCGTAATGGTTGATGCACCATTGTCACTATCGCTGTTCTCCCAATAATCGCAGGAGCCGTTCTCCACATACTCATGGACCATGGCTGCAAGATCATGTTCACTATCGTTGCTCCCGTTGCTGTACTTTGCCGCGCTCTGCTCATTAACTGGTCCTGAGCTCAAAAACTTTGCCTGCTTATCCTCCTTCATCTTCTGCAACCTTGTCGTCTGAGATTGCGCCGGCCAGCACGCTTTGTGCTTGCCAGGAACAAATGGCACGGGAAGATGAGCATTGGGGGGATTCAGGAAATCCAAATGGTAGTCCACATTCTCGATCGCCAACATGTCACCATACACCGCAGAATTGGTGTCCTGGTGATGGCTGAATGGCCCATTGTATAGAAGGCCAGGCATTCTAAAAACTGTAGGGGTCGAAATGGTGATCCTTTGGAACTGATCGATCGATCAGATACGAGAGAACCACTACCCACGGAAGATGGAAAGCACTATGTCGTTGTCGTCAAAGACTGCCTGACAGAAGACCCTCGGAAGAAGGACAAAATCCGCAGGGAGGAACTATGCCGGATGCTACAAAACTTCTGAATACAGAGTCTCGATTCTAAAGGGAAGAACTGGAAACGCTTGAGCCAGCGAGTAAAACTTTCCGTCCGCATGCAACATGCCCACACCCTTTCGCTCAAATGACAACCCGATCAGCCGCTGCTTGGGAAGCAAAATCAGATTTAAACCCCAAAAAAACAACCGTGAAAGATCCACCATTCACACTCAATCCACTTTCCCTTCCCTTCTCACACGCCCTTCACTACAGCGCCTAATTCCTCCAGTGCTGCCTGAAGATGTACACACTATATATACCCTGCCCGACCGCACATGCACTGATCCGTCGTCACCTCTAGCCGCCTCACCTCTCCGCAACGAGTGTCAAAACATCATCGCCCTCTATATACACCTTCTTCAGATCCTCCCTCTCAGTCCCGATCCTTTCTCTCTCCTTCTCTTCCACTTTCACAGACTACCACCTTCTCCTCCTCCTCCCCTCCCCTCCTTTCCCTTCTGTACACCACCCTCCCTCCTCTCTACCCTCTCCCCAGCTCTTCTCCTTGCGTGCACTCGCGTCCGAACGGATGATGATGACAATGATGCGGCACAACTTCTCCCTCGCCTTCCAGAAACATGCAACGACCAGAAGAGGCCTCTCTCTCTCTCTCTCTCTCTCTCTCTCTCTCTCCTTCGACAGATTGTCACTCTCTCCGCCAAAAAGAACGATCACGTCGCCTCTGCGCTCCCCTCTCCTCTCTCTCGCCTGGCCCGTCCCCACCTCTGTCTCTCGCCCACTTTCTCCCACACTCTCGTCGATCCTGTCAAGATATGTGAATCTCCTCACACGCTCTGCTCTCTCCCTGCAACAGAGTCCCAGCCCTCTCTCTCACCGAAGACTTTAAAGCGTGTGAGGGAAGCGCCTCCTCCTCTCTCCTCTCTCTCCCTCTCGTCTCCTCTCTCTTGTGTGAAGGAAGTCGAGGCTGCTCTGCGTTGAATGCTCGAGCGCACTATATGTAGTCCCATCGCGACCCAGATGCAGCCAGCTCTCGCAGGCAGGCGGACGCTGGTCAGGTGAGATGGTAGGAAAAGCAACAACTGGGCCCGGGCGAATAAAACATTTCCTTTTCTTATTCCCATTACATTTCATTTCCGCTTTATCTCCTCCCTCTTCCTCGCTCCGCCTTTATTAATACTCGCACATCGAGCGCATTCTACTGTACCGTAACTCTCCTCCGGAGGCTGCCGCTCGCGCTCTCGTGCCCGTCTTCTCCAGCAATCTTCTCCTTCGGAGACCGGTGCGCTCTGCGGCAGTGCTCTGCGCAGCAGACATTAGTGCAGAGTCGCAGCGCAGTCCTGCCCCACCAGAGGACCAGGACCTGGTTCGTCTTTGTCTCCGCGTTGGCTCAGCTCTCCAGTCTACAGTCGCCTTCTCCCCGGGCCTGGACTGGACTGGCCTGGCGGACTTGCGTACTCCAACCCACGAGACGAAGCGTAGCGTAGGGTACTCTACGACTGACTGACTCGCGCTCCCCCCATCCCCCCACCCCCCTCCTGTTGGACTGACTCGCCGAATGCGCCATCCCTCAGGAGGCAGAATTCGCCGCAGTCGGAGAATATTTAAGACAATCCCTGCAATTTCACTGCCCTCCCCCACCGCCCGCGGCCGTCCGATTCCGGCCGATGGCCATCGGGCCGGTGCCCGCACGTCGGATCCGGAATCGTTCGCCGAAGATTCGCGGACGAACGCCCTTGCCCTGCCCGACTTTGCACTCCAGGCAGAGACCAGCTGCCTCGGATCACGACACGTGTGCACGAGCCAGGGCGGAAGCGAAACCCGGCTCACTTGCCGGAGCCATCATCGGCCGGGGTGAGCGAGGCGTATATGACCGAGATAACAAGCGGACCGAGTTCTCCGTTCCAGGCAGATATTTTTATCGCACGGCCTGTTTGGAGCGAGCCCGTCATCGCCAAAGTTACCGCGCTTTGTCCTGCCTGCCTGCGGAGCGAGGGCTGGGGATTCAGCTTTTACAGCGCGGTGTTGGGCCCGCGAAGGGATCGACGGAAGGGGTGCGATTCGGGTGTGTTACGACTCAGGAGCGCTCCGGGGACAGCCCCGTCGCCATCGCCCGACTCATCATTATCAGATGATCGTCGCACCTGTCGGAGGCGTCGGACGTGGGCCTACCACATTCAAAATACGCCTCCGCTCACGCAAAGACGCTGGGGCGCCAACTCTCGAACTGACGCCGAGATTGCCCGCAGATCGGAGCCAGGATTCTCCAAATTGGCGACGTCGCAATCGGTGACATGGGTCCTGGTACCGAACCCCTGCCATCGTCCACCACAGCCCGGAACGGGCTCGACCACGGTAACTCCGTGCTGCGGGTGGACGAACTGCAAAGTGTAATCAGTTTGCAACCTTCGGGTTCACATGATATCGACACGTGGGCTGCTGTGAAGTTCGCGTGAGAGCTCCAGTACGAGAGCGACTCTCAGGTTCAGGACAGGAGCCCGGCTTAAGTTAGCCGGACTGGAAGAACTTGGTCTCACGTTGCCTGTTGGAAGATTTTCCAACCAAGAAGTTGTTGCCGGTAATGGATAACTGACTACCTACTTACATTAGGGGTATATCCTGTTGGTTGAGACCGGCTGCTTAAAAGCCCCTAATATTGCAGCGACAAAGTCTATTAAGGTAGCGATCGCTCTCGATGTAGTTATAGAAGCGAACATGTTCCCCAATGTGGATAAATGCAGCTTTATTTAGCAGCTGGAGCCTCTCTAGATCGATACGCATACTTGATAAACCCTTCTCCATGATCTCTGTGATGGACAAATTAAGCAATTTGTCATTACAATCATCGTAATAAAACCACTGGGATCGCTATTTTTGCACTAATTTGACTTCAGCCCGATTTCTCTCACGATAATCTTCGTCTCACATCCGAGTTTCTTTTCCATTCATCTAGAACGTGAAGACGGCAGTACACGTCCTCATCCGCCTTCATAATGAGCTAGGTACGAGGGTTAATTATGGTGGGGCTAACGAACAGTCGTTACAGTCCCATTGAAAGTTACTTCGGTCCACCTCATGGGTAAGGTGACAAGGACGATAAGTCGAACATTCTCATGAATCGATCAGGGAGAAACTGGATAATTCGAAAGAAATGGGCGATGAGATTCACAAGGATTGGATAATAAGCTTAAAAGTAACATGTACTGTAGCTCCAAGACTTCTCCCCTCTTCTTTTCTTTACTATTTTCTTCTTTTCTTCTCAATTTCTTTAGACGGTTTCGCCATCCTGTTTGTATTCCACTCTTCTCTCGTTTTACTCGTTCCGAGTCCCTGAGAAGCATGTTCTTTGAAGGGATTTTTGGACATCAACGTCAGGGCAACAATAGGCACTTGCTCCCTATGACCCTCCTCTTGCCGCTTCAATCGAAGCACATTTAACTCTCATCCTTAAGGGTTATCTATCCTTTGGGAACAAATTGAGTTCTATGTTTGAGAGTGGGCTTTTGGCGTTGTCCTCTAGCAGGGCTACTCTTTTATTTTGTCCTCGCCGTCTCAGTCTTCTTTTCGCTCTCTGAAACCGTAAATCCGGTTGGGGACATTTCCAGGATTGGAATTCATAACCCAATTCGAGTAGGTTTCTATAATGAAAAACCGGCAATGATAGCTTTCGTTACTGGATCTCCCTCCATTCAGTGTGAGCTATCCACTCTGCCATAAGTTTTGTACATGTGCTCAGTGCTCCAAGAAAGCCCTCTCTTTTTCGTTAACTTCACTTTTTTCGTGCTCATCTCACGTATGCCTAGACCTGATCTATGTTCAACCTCCCACAAGATATGTGTTTTTTTTAGCTGTTTTCAAATACGAAAGCTTACTCCGCTCATGTTTTAACTGTGATAAACTGAGTTGTTTGAGGCTGTCCTCTCCAAGCTGCCTCAACCTACTGAAGTTTCGAGCGGGCTTGGACCCATCTATTCTCCATCTCACGAGTCCAGTCTCCCACTCTTCCCAGTGCATGTATGCACGATCGATTGGACATACTTTAATTTTTTAATTTTTTTTCTAAATTTCCCACCGAGCCGGGACCTACCTTAAGTAGAAGTAATGTCTCACCTAAAAATCCTCCACAGAAACGGTTATGTACTTCTCCGTCAAGCTGAATATTATGTACTTTATTATAATATCGTCTCGAATCTTAGCGGCTACATGGATATTATCCATGACTCACAAGACATTGCTTATCCCTTTTGGCCTTAGTGTTTACAAGGATCAGCAGTATTTAGGATTAAAGTACAAGTTCAAACATATAGTACATGATAATCCTAAAATTGAAATAAATTATGACTTTTGTCCTTCCTATCGTGCCTCTACCTCCACCTTTTTTCTTCTAGTTTTCAGTTTCTACTCTTGCTTCTTTAGTTTTCGAAACTTGGTTCTCACTCTCATCTTTCCGGTCAAATCTGCTTGATCCTCTTGAACCTTTGGTTTCCTCCTTCATTTTCTGTTCCACCCAATTTCAGAGAATGTCGCCTCACCCGATGCTATTAAAACAAGAGTATGGGACTACACTACCACCGGCTAGAGGATATCTTCGCCAATTACAGTATCTTAACACTCTTGTATCTAATGCATACAAAATTTCGAATTCAAGTCAAGACATAACCCTTGATGCTTAAGTATTATGCCTCAAGAAACTGCTCAACATGTACAGCAGTCAGCCTAACGAACAAAAAGACTCTCTCCCCATGCCGTGAAACGCTAGAGCAATCCCAGCGATGTCATTTAATATGTTACATTGTCAAGTGCATGCATGCGTGCGGTGTCAAATGGCGGTTTCCATGGGATGATCTTTGCCATCCCATGTGAACCGACCATCCTATTCCCCTTGTAAAGGGGTGTAGCTCACAAAATTTTCTACTGATGCTCAAATGTCACTACTTGAAAAAGAAATCATCTTTTAGGTATCATGATGATGGAGTCCACACTTACTTGGTGTTTCTTTTTCAGCTGATTCTCCGAGCACTACTTCACCACTTCCGACGTGGGCACAAAATCTGAAGAGTACATGAGAAAGAAATGGTTCTCAGTTCTTTTCCGTATTAGAAGCATCTGCTTTTCGACTCTAAACTTTGCCATGGCCTCACTATCTTTCTTAGGATTTCTCTCTCTACAACTTGTAGCTTTCTTCATCACATAGTCTCTCACTTCTTGAGCATTGTGAGTCAGGTCTAGCACATGCTCTTCGGTTCTCTCGTTCGGCTTTCCGTTAGCAAATCTCATCCACTTCGGCTGGTTTACCTGCGCTGGCATGGTCTTCCTGCTCGGCTCCTACCTGACTGACCATCTCACTTCTTGTATCATTAAATCCCTCCTAGGTGACAATGTTGTTCTTGGGATTTTTTTTGCGTGCCGAAACTCCCATGGCAAGTCGGATTTGATTCGCTCTTCTCGTGGTTAGTCTACGATTCTGCAAGGGAGTTTTTGCCACTTCTGTCTTCTTGGAGTGCTAGCAACTGTTTTCTTCAACACCTCCAATTGAGATATTCTTTAAGCTAAGCTTTTTTTTTACTTGCTCCTCCTATGTTATTCCAATTGTCTCACCTTTTTCCATGTTGGTGGCCATGGCAACTTGCTTCTGCCAATTCT